AGACATATTTAACTCTAATTTTGGGAAATGCAAGTTCTGATTAATTGGCTTGAATGGATCAGTGGGCCGTTATGTCATAATGGAAGTTATAGTGGCAGCAATAGTTTCAGCAATTAGTGTGTGTATTAGGCAGGGAGCATACGATGAAGTTATCCTAATAACATCAATTATAACAACTTGTTTTTGCATCAATTATAATAAGTATTTATTGTTTGGCACTTGTTCTAAATGAACTGAATGACCACATTTCACTTTTTTAACTAACTTCCTTATGTTTTAGCCAAAGTTAAAAGTTTGATTGGAAAAAGCCACAAATATCGTAATTTATACTCTAATTTTCTTTTCTCGTATGCCAACGAGAGTTCATTAAATGTCTTCTATACTCCATGCTTTGATTTCTATAACTATGGTTAATTTGCTTTCCGTGACTTACTGCCTGTGTGTTTAGTGCTGCTAGTTTTTACTTAATCAAATTCTTGCCCTTATATATATATATAGATAGATAGATAGATAGTTATATTGTCGGCTTTATCTACCCTATTACTGCTTAACCGACCGAAGAAGAAGAAGAAACAGGGCACAAGATTTCTGTCTTGCAATGAAATTAGGGTGAGATACCAAAAATGAAACATCCTAACTGTTAATGACCTGTTGAAGTACAATTGTTCTTTTGTGCAACAAACAAATGTCCCACGTGCTTCATAGTTTGTCTTCTTTGTAATCATGGATTCCAGACAGTGATGGGTAGTAAATATTTTCATCTGTCAAATTCTTGTCTGCCGCGTGGTTCTCGCATGTACTTGAAAAACTGATATAAATGGAAACAGCTCAACTTCATTTCTCAGTCTGCAGTTTCACATTTCTCGCCAGATGAGGTTCAGGCTTCAGGGTTTTTTTTTTTTTTGGTAAAGGCTTCAGGGTTTTTGCTGCTTAAAAGAAACATTAATGGGGATGATACCATTGTCTTTCAAAGTGAACATTCGCAGATTCTGCTTAGAAATGAGCACACAGTGGATTTACTTTCAGTCAACATACCAATTTTCGTCTACCGTGCTATGATTGGGTCAATAAATAATATATAATTAATTTAATGTTAATCATTCTTGGCACCTGAATTAAGTTTCCGAGGGAAGAGTAGGAAAAAAACTAGGAAATCTAATCCCACATCCCTTTGAATAATGAACTGGTAAACAGTTTCTTCAATTTTGATGGTCAACAGTTGAAATTTAAATATGTATATAATATAAATTTATTTTGGTAAGTATCAAACATGTGGCCTACTTGTTGATAATGCCTAAGCTTTACTCCATACCCATTTGTTGGTATACACACATAAAATATATATATATATATATATATTATAGTCCAAACACAAATTCTCAAGGTAGCTAACCTCCACCTGCAATATAGGCTTAAAGATGTATATATGCATGAATTGTTTAGAGATTATATATAGTTAAAAGCAATGAATTGGATGGTATCTAGACATAACTCGATAACCAACAGGGTTAGACATTTGGGGGGCGTTGGTTCTTCTTTAGAAAGTAGACAGTACAATTAGTTAATTAGAAAATTCCAATTAGCTGGAGAAGATCTCAGAGCTATGGAGTAAAGCAAAATTCAAGTAAATGGTGTGTGTTTCTGGTTTGGGATCCTCAAATTCCATTACCAATAACAAGAAGGGATAATATTTAATTTTTGTAACTTTTCTAAATTTGGTAGGTTACTAATAGGAACTCACCAATGTGACAAAGAGCTTTTTAAAAAAAAAAAAACTGAAGAAATGTAAGAAAGAAGTCCTTATGTGGTGGACATGAGAGTTGAGGACAAATGGAGAATAGAGAAGGGACATGGAAAGCTTTTGCCAAATTTAATTAGGGCTTTTTTAGGAGTTGCGCCCATATCCCTTGGTTAAACGTGGGGAACCAAAACAATAATGAGTTTACTTCAGCAATGATTAAAAATGAGACCCCACCATTGGTTGGGATTCAGCTCACCCCTCCCCACTTGCTTCCATTAACTTTAATTTTCCTCATCACAAAACCTTTTGCATTTCATTTATTTGCAACGCAACAAACAACATAAACAAATATTAAACTCCAACCAACATCCATAATAAAAGTAAAACAATACAGAATAAGAATATAAATGTGTCTTTCTTTGCAGACATTCTTTTGATCCGTACGAGGCCTAACCAACCCTCATCCTTTTATTATCAAAAGAACTGCTTGTTAGTATTCTTTTACATTCTAAAATTCGATCGTCGATATAATTTGAAACCTAAACGTTCTATTTTTGTGAAAATTTGCATGTTATATCAAGTTTTTTACTATGAGTTATTGATCAACAAAGTAAGAAGTAGTAATTTCATGTACATTAATATTTATAATAACCTAATATAGCAATAAATAAACTATGATGGAGTCCATATATTTTTATATGTATGTAGAGGTTTTAGGGTCGAATGGTACAACGCCAAACAATCAAGGGTGGGACCGAGATGACACTCGGATAACGTTAGAGACTTTTGCTTCACTTCTATACTTTGTCCGAAATAACATTAAAAGGCAAAAAATCACACACAAACACTTGCTAAATTTTAATGAAATCCCTCAACCCTAGGCGCTGCCCAAGACACAGGAAAAACCATTCATTTATTTTTTTTTTAAATTTTTATAACATTTATATTTTACTTATCGGCAAGCACAAGCACCTTGTAACACAAACGCAAAGGGTGAAAAAAAAAAAAGTGAGAGAGAGAGAGAGAGAGAGAGAGAGAGAGGCCCAAGGAAAAAGTGGGTCCCTACTGGGACAACCGGGTAGGGCCCACTTGAAAGAGCTAGCCTGCAACACAAAATTGTGAGCCAAATAATCGTGGGCTTGTCCACGCTGGACTATTAGCCGCCACGTCCCTGAGCCCCGACATCTGGGTTCCACTCTCCACTATTTATAAAAATGAAAATACACTTAAAAATATAGCACTACGTACAATAAGTTTTTTTTTTTTTTTTAATTTTATTTCATAAATGATGTATATAGCAATGGCTTTATCTCTCGGCTTATCTGGCTTTGACTTGGGGGCTTAGCCGAGTCAAAGCTTAATTTGGAGAAGTGTCAGTATCTGACATGCACAGGGTCGGTCAGTGGGGTCAACTCGTGAAAGCTTGGTAAAACTTACAAGAGATATAATAAAATGAATTAAAAGATAAAATAAAATAATTAGAAAATTAAATTAAATTAGAGAGAATAATAAAAAAATTGCAGACCAACCAACGGGGGGAGGCTCACATCGCGTGCAATTGCTGGTGATGAGTACTTTTTGAGAGTATTTTATTTACCCAACCTTAAAAAGCCTTTTCTCACATGCATTATTTTCCTGTCATTATAATATTTGCACTTTTTTATTTTTTATTTTATTGTTTTTGTTTTAGCTTTTTATTTTGGGTCGATTGAATTGATAAAATTTTAACATTTTGTATGTAAGATTTAAATTTAAAATATTAAATTAACAATTTTGTTTTATGGATAATCTATAAATTTAATATAAAATCTCTTTAATACTTGTAATTTTCTTGATTTTTGCATGAGAAAATTTTCTCTTCTTTAAAGTTTGAGGGTAAAAACATAATTTAGTTTTTCTTATCATACAAAAAAGCCATTGAAGTTGACTACATATGTTTCTTGGTTTAATAAAAGTTGCATGAACAAATATCCAAAACTTATCGAATTTTAGTATTTATATTAAAAAAAATTGAAGATATATAAAGTATCAAATTAGTTATTGTTAATAAACTTTAATTATATGTATATGTACACAATTTATCTCCTCTTTTCACAATTCAAATATATGAATGTGTTTTAATTACCATTGCATGCAAAAAAAAAAAAAAAATTATACACTAATCTAATCTTAAACATATACACTAATTAATTTTACCCATAAGTATTAGTTTAGTTGATAAGAAAAGGAATTTATTTCTTAATTAATAGTTAATCATTATGAAAAAATAATATGAGAATAAAATCTTAAATGCACTAAATCAATGTAAAAGAATGCATTTTTAAAATTGTTTGAAGAAGATATTAGATTCAACCAAGTTTGAGTATATCTTTGATCATATTATAAAAATGTATATAATAGTTTTTTTAAAAGAGGAAAAAAAAAGAAAATAATCTACTTGATATATACTTTGATGCCTTGATTTTCTTTTCCTTTCATCATCATGGATGCTGATTTAATTCTTAAAAAAATATATATCTACAATTTAGAGAGGAGATAGATAAAGAATGAGAAGATAGAAAAGGCTGAAAAGTGAAACTCCTTATCCCCTGTGCACTCCTTAACAATGAGCATGTAGATCATATTCTTAAAGGTTAATATTCCTGTTGTTATTATGAATCTGATGGTGTAAATCACGCGGTGAACAAAAATAATAGAAAAAAAAAGGGAAAAGAAAATTTAATTTCTTATATAATAAATTTAAAAAAATTACAAAGAAATAACTAAAAAAAAGTGAGAGAGATGAGATGGAAGATTTATGTAACTTTTGGGGGATGACTACGTACCACCTTAGCTCTCCACCACCAAAAATATCATCAATATTTTTGTACCTCTTATTCATAAATGCAAATGCAAATGGAATCCTCCTTTTTTTTTCCCTTTAAAATTGCGAAAAAAAAAAAAAATGAAAGCAACCCTTTTCTTTTTCTTCCTTGATAGTCTTTTGAGCAGCCAATTTAATGGTTACCGTAGGATCAACTGATTATAACATTCTTCAATCTTTCTCTTTTCTCTGAAAAAACGAGAAAACTAAACACTCTTTTGGTCTTTATCAGTAGTAGCTGGTGGCGTGGCATAGGAGGTTGCCGCCTCTCTACCTCTTTCTTTTGTAATTTATATTACAAATATGTATCTCTCTAAAGAGCTCTCGCTCTCAATCTTCCTTCAACCATTATCCGCCTCCCTTTTTTCCCGCAAAGCTTTTCCTGCAATCAAGCTCTAATTCCTTTGACAAAAAAAAAAAAAAAAGATAGACAAAGAGAGGGAGAGAGAGAGAATGAAAGAGAATAATTGAGAGGGATAAATTATCAGGGCATGTGTGTGTTTCTTGGCACTACCCATTTTTATCATTTCCCTTGACCCTTCTTATTTAGATCCATCTCTTCTCTCTTTTCCCATTCCTCACCTCCCTTTATTTTCCCTTTTCCTTTCTGTCCTTGGGATCTGATCTCTCTCACTCTTCCCCTTGCGACAACTAGTGGACAAGTTCTTGACTCTACAAAGTGTTAGGGTGGTCGAGGGAGTTTCAGTTCAATTCCCGAGGGTTATAACTTTTCATTGCACATATACACCCACCTTTATCTTGGTTTCTTTCTTTGTTTTCTTTCTGCGGTTGTCTTTCTTTCTGTGTTTTTGTTTTTGTCTGGTTCAAATATTGTGTCCTTGCAAAAGTTAAAAGAGAGAGTGAACAAAAAAGTTAGCTTAAAGTTTCTTAGCTTTAACATACACACGAGGCTGGTTTTCAATCAGATCTCTGACGATTAAGAGAGAATTGTCAAGCTTTGTTCTATCGTGAGCTTCTCTTCCTCTTTCTTTCTTTCTTTCATTCTTCTTCTTCTTCTTCTTCTTCTTCTTCTTTGTTTCCTTTTTAATTTATTTATTTTTTAGCGTGATCATTTCCCTAAGGTTAGAAAAGATGAAGTGGGGGATGCTTTTGGTATACGCTAAGCAATGAAATTATGAAACTACCTATATATATATTTATTAATATGATGTCTTTCACTGTTTGATAAGTTCTTGAATTGGTTGCTTTTTAGCTCAAGATGTTTTCAGTTTGATCTGGAATATACACTTGTTTCCTGGATCCCAATTACTTGGTCATATACTCATATTTTCTGCAAGGGGCTAAGGTTTTTGTCTTTTCTTCATTATATTTCCTAGGTTTTTCAAGTTCTCTAGCTACATTAATTTCATGTTTCTTTTCTTTTCTATTCCATTGAGAACTCCTGTTCTTCTTTTCTTTCTGAATTATAAGTTTTTTGAGAGATCATCAGTTCATCACAACTAGAGGATTAATCTTGTTTCTTTATATCACATATTCAACGGTATTTGTAGTTTTGAGATGGCTGAGTTTAGATCTCACTTTATATGAATTAGATGATAGCTCCAAAATCATTTTCTAGTGTTATGGGGTACATGCAGTTGTCTACTCCAAATTATTACAGAAGGAACGAAGAATCTTTAAAAGTTAATTTTATGCATCATTGTTCTTTCTTCTCTACTACATATTTTTTTTCTTCTTCTTTTAAAAGTTAATTTTATGCATCATTGTTCTTTCTTCTCTACTACATATTTTTTTTCTTCTTCTTATGAATATTATTCACTAAATCAATTTTCTTCTCTACTACATTTTTTTTTTCTTCTTCTTATGAATATTATTCACTAAATCAATTTTGGAGACTCATGTATTATCCATCCTATGTATGTTGTACTACAATATTCTTGTTAATCCTTAAACTATTACTCTTCTTATGCCTGTCTCAAAAACACAGAGTAAAGATTTTAAAATTGGATTCCCTATACCTATCCAGAATTCACTTCTATGAGTGGAGAAACACTTTATTGTTTATCTACTTTCCATTCATATAACATATATATAGCTGAAATACAAGAAAACTTTAGTTTTATATATCTTGCACATTTTATATTACTTTAGGATATATATCAGTTAAAACTGAAGAGTGAATAGCTATGGTTTTTATGAGTGATGAAATGTTTATATTTATGCTTCTCAATTTCCGATCTTTTTATCCCCAGTTTCTATACTCTTCATGAGTTTCTACCATGATAAAATATAACATATTAATGGCACTAATTCTTTTCCAACTTTCACAATAAAGATCAATGATTTCCTTTATACAGTATACAAAATTAGATAATTACAAGTTTTAAATCTAGATCAAATTACCCTAATTTTTATAGGAGAAAGGAGAAGATTATTGGATTAATGACTTAAAGCATGCTTGGTTATACTCTTCCAGATACCTTTTATATGCTAGGCCCCGATCTATCAGTAATACATTAAGATCATAAAATGCCCATAATAGTCTATGTATGCATATGGGGACGTCAACGGACATACTTTTTTGCCTTTTTGGTGTAGCATAGGGAGCAGCATGAAGATTTTGTAGCCAACTTTTAGATATATAGCTAAAACTTATTATATATTGTGTAATAGAAAGACTAAGCATTAGAAATGATAGTCCTTCCATACGAGAAAACTTGTCTTAGAAGTACATCCAAGTTAATCATTATAGAATATAATGATTTTTTTAATGTGTTTTTTATGTGCCTTGGTGGCAAACTCTTGTTTGGGTAGGAGACCGCATTGCAATAAACCAATTCCCTCTTGAATTGGACATTACCCAAATAATATATTTTGCATCCAGTACTTTTTTTTTTCTTTGATCTGTTTATAGGTTATTTTTGGTTGTCCTAACATATTTCATGTGGCAAAATCATAATGTATTATATGCATTTTAATTAATTTCCATGCTCAAAAAGATTTTCTTTTGAGCATGTTTTTTCCACATGAATCATATGATGTTTGTTCATGTATCATTTGCACTAAACACTCCAATAAAAGATGGAATTCAGCATGATTATTTGATACATAACTATATTTGGATAATATTTTCGTGCAAAGAAAACCGAAAGTAGTAAGTAATTGTTATTATTTGCTTCAAATGTGGAGGCATTTAACCTTCCTTTGTTGGCCAAGTGCTCTACCTGTGTGTAACATCACTTTTAGTTTGTCTCTATTTATTAATTAACTTTTATTTTTCCTATTCAGATGACTTGCATGGCTAAATTTAAAAAGAATAATTAATATATACTGCTTCTATATATTTATGAACTCTTACGTATTTCTGTGACATTTTAATGCAGGTTTTGATCAGTTTTTTCTGTGGAGAATATGAATACCTTTTCACACGTTCCCCCAGGCTTTAGGTTCCATCCCACAGATGAAGAACTTGTTGATTATTACCTCAGAAAAAAGGTTGCTTCGAAAAGGATAGATCTGGATGTCATTAAAGATGTTGATCTTTATAAAATTGAACCATGGGATCTTCAAGGTAGCGATATCCCCATTTTTCTCACATTGTTTCTGGTAACAGCATTTAAATGTACCCAAAAAAAAGGTCTTTCCCTTGCACTGTCTATCAACCATTGATATTGATTAGTTTCATTTACCTGGATATATAGAATTGTGCAGAATAGGAACTGAGGAGCAGAATGAATGGTACTTCTTTAGCCACAAAGATAAGAAGTATCCAACAGGTACTCGCACTAATAGAGCAACAAAAGCAGGATTTTGGAAAGCTACTGGAAGAGACAAGGCTATTTACTCCAGACATTGCCTTATTGGCATGAGAAAAACCCTTGTCTTCTACAAAGGACGAGCACCCAATGGACAAAAATCAGATTGGATTATGCATGAATATCGACTAGAAACAAATGAAAATGGAACTCCTCAGGTAAGTATACATATACCGTTTTATCTCTCTAATTAAAAAAAAAAGGTTTTTTGTTTACTTTAATTAGTAATTGCTATATATATATATGACCATCAAAATCTCATTCATTAATGTATAGCATCCACTCCTATCCTATATATTAATCCACGAAATATGGTAGATATATGCCTTGCAAAGAAAGCACATCAAAAAGGCTCTTGCATAATCACTAAATGAGACATAACATAGATCAAATGGTTTCCAGCAAAATGGGAGTTGTTCTATCTCAGCAACAAAATAATTAGATTTGAAGATATATATATTGTAGTTTATTTAAGACATAATTTGCTTTTATCAGAAAAAATTGCCTTTCACCCTAACATTAATTAGTGCTCCCTTTGTCCCCAAAAAGAAATTCTATGCTTGCACTGAAATGGTTTTCCATGTCTCAATCCCCTATGTAAAACATAACTACATTGAAGAGAAGCTACATCAACCAGTCAATCCAACTTGTTGTGATTGTGAATCTCTTTCATCTCAAGTTAAAGATTCTAGGCAAAAAAAAAACCATGCTAATGATACCTGTCTTCCCATAAGATATTCTAATTTATATTTTATAACATCTAAACTCTTTTCACAAGTAATGCTTGCAAGCAATATCTATCGTATAGTAAGTTGACAAACATTTGTGCACTTCCATGTGTGTACATTTTCATACGCATGTGCAAGCATGCAGGCATATGCAGTCTCCTTGAAAGTTTAAATAGTTATGACTAATATGATGTCTTTGTTATTCCACCAGGAAGAAGGATGGGTGGTTTGTAGGGTGTTCAAGAAGCGAATGACAACAGTGAGAAAAGTGGGTGAATATGAATCTTCATGTTGGTACAATGACCAGGTCTCATTCATGCAGGAACTTGAATCCCCAAGGAGAATTCCTCAGCCTTATGCATCATACCATCACCATTATCCCTGCAAGCAAGAGCTTGAGTTGCAATACAATTTGCCTCATGACCCTTTTCTTCAGCTCCCTCAGTTGGAAAGCCCCAAAGTTCCACAATCTGCTGCTAGTGTAAGCTGCAACTCGGTTTTTCCTTATGGCACTTATGATAGGAACAATGGAAGCACTTTGCAGTCCTCAACCCTCACACAAGAAGAGCACATGCAACAAGGGCATCAGAAAAATCTGAACTCGCTTGATAACAACAGTACTGAACAAGCTGTGGATCAAGTAACAGATTGGCGAGTTCTTGACAAATTTGTTGCCTTTCAGCTCAGCCATGAGGAAGCTTCCAAGGAAAGCAACTATTCCAGTGCAGCCGCCAGCTTTCATGTGGCTGAACAAATGAATTTGCTAGCCAAAGAATCCAGAAGGCCAGAAATTGCTCATCAGGAATATGCCTCCACATCCACTGGTTGTGAAATTGATCTGTGGAAGTGAAAGCATATTCTAGCACTTAGAGCATACATACTAATTATAGGAAGCATACTTATAAGAAAAAATGTCTTCAATCCAGGTTGCTGTACATAATAAAACTATATAATGGTATTGCATCAGCCATGGGACTGCTGGTGTCCGTAATTTGTATTGATTAATACTAGGCATGTAGTTATTGTTAGATGAACATTGTGCAATATAAAACTAAAAATGAATTAGTATTTTAAGGAGGACTAAGGCCGAGTGCTCTTTGGGACTGACTCGGCCTAATATCGAATGTATTTGGAGCTTAATATAAATATGAAGGGTTTCTTTATTGTACTCTTTGTTCTTCTTAGATCATTCATGTTTTCGACTTGGATATAGCTTCTGTATATATTGTAACTGCTATTTCTCTTCTCATCCCCCCTGCCAAAAGTTGTTTAAGTACTGTTTCATCTTTCTTTTATAATTTTTCAAATACATAAAGTTTATCCTTTTGGTTAACAATTATGCGATGTAAGTGAATTAATTCAATCTCTTTGATAAAAAGTTTGATAAGCACTGTACTTTAGTTTTTCTGTAACTCTCTTTGTAATATTTTAATGAAAATTTGATGTTTGGCTGAGATTCTTCTTTAAAAAGAAACCTAATCTTGAAAGAAAAATTTGAAGTTCATTCCTTAACATTGAACTATAAGTAGAATGAATATAAGTTAAATGACGACATCTCAGAGTTATTGAAATTGAAATAGCAAAGCAGCATGATAGCTATAGTAGTCCTACTGGCAAGGCATATGTACTCCATGATGAGTTAAAAATGGTCTATGCTATAATGAAAGAGAAGCACAAAGCTAGCAAAATAATGGTTATACATACCAACTGTTTTATTAAAAAGGTTGTAGTTATAGACATAGTTGAAAGCACCAAAACAAGAAAGATAATGGAGAACATCAACTGCCAAATGTGAGAAAAGAAACAGTTGTTGTCACTTCCCAAACTCAGGACACAAAATTTATAGATGCTAAATAATTGTATTACTATTTACTACGTCATTCTCTGTTCACAAAATCAAATTTAATTGTTGGCTAAAAGTTGAAGGTGAAGTACAACAAAAAGATTGATTGACAAATGTTTTTCTTTACAAAAAAATAGTTGTTGGAATAATTTTACTACCAGGATACTTTCGGTGTGGCTACATACCTGTTCAAGAAGATGAATGAAGATGGAAGCAGCCAGGAGTTCTATCTTCTTCAGATTAGCAGACTCGTTAGATCCTTCTGCAAAAAAGTTGAACTTGAGAATATATGAGAGATAGGGAAGCATATATAGGAAACTTGAGGATAAGACAGATATTTGACATGCATGGAATATGTCATTAAACTTGTAGCTCAACAGAGATTGATACAGATTTTCAATCGCCAGCTCATGGTGAGCTCCCAGGGTTGCAAAAACTTGAAGGAGCTGGCATTGTTCAAAGAATAGTGATCAGGGAGAGGGGTGGCTGCAATTGACTGCGTGAAGTATGTTTTGAAAATTTACCAGCGTGGTTTAAATACCAGGAGGAAGAGAAACTAGCTTTAGGAATCTAGTAATAATGGATAACAGGACTAACCGGCAAGAAAAGTAGTACAATTCTTTGGGTTTTATTCACTTGGAGAAACATGTATCCTTTTACTTGGGTTGAAGTCAAGCATGAAAATCCCTTCAAAGCAATGAAAAAAAATTTCCAAGCGACATAATCATTGGGCGTGCTCTCATGGACTCATAATGAAACAATTCTAACCTGAAAGGCATGCTTAGCCGAAGGATTCCTCATTGGAAAGAAACAAAATGATAAGAAAAAAAAAAAAAGCTTAGAAAGTGCTTTGACTAAGTCTGACGTGAAATTCTCTTCTCCTTAGGGTTTTATCTGCAGTACTCTTTGTAATTATCCAAGGTTTCCTCTCTAATTTTGTTCACTTGTGACTAAAGAAACAGAAGAATGTATTACCATCCATTTTCTCTGAAGCAAATGTGAGAATTAGAGAGAGATGGTGGCCTCATTTCTGTGCCTGCCAAACCCCATAACAAGGAGACCATGCGCACATTGATGCATCTAGGTGTGACTGAATAATTAGGGTTCATTAAAAATGTTGTTTGCAGACTAAGTAAGATAACATCATTGACCAGGTGAATACAAAACCTCCATGTGAGGCACCATTATTAGTGTGCTTCATTAGTTTCCCAAATCCCAAACCTCCACAGTTCCCCGAGTCCGGACTTGTACTTAATTCGTTTTTATGTCTCAATTAGCCATTATCTCTTCAGGATTGCAGACATACTGTGAGAATAAACAATGTTTTAAAAGGATGTAAGTGTAATTTTTGCTTTTCAGTTTGAACTCTTGGACCACACCGTCAGAATCCTCTCCTAGCTTCTTGAGCAGGCTCATGATATTTTGAGTAGGTTTTTAAACCTGTGTAACTTAGCAGTTCAGCTCACTCATTTTGTTTTGCTTTGTCTAATTATATTCTGGAATTGAACTTTCAGCGATTGAACTTTTTGACATATATACGCTGTACACATAAAACAATACATAACATGGTAAAAGTTTGATACCTGAACAACCCACAATATCATAACATAGTAAAAATTTGATATATCTTACCACACTAACATGGTAACATATATACACTATATACACCTATAATAAATAGTCATCCTAGCTTATTAGAAATATATTTTTACAGAAAATAGTTAATTTTTAGTCAATGATTGGCATAATCTATAGGAAATAATTTATACAATGTACTGTATGTCGGTATAAGCTGAATGTACATGTACTAGAAGAGAAAGTGACAGCAATATTTTTCATCCTACGGTTCCTTGCGTTGTATGATAATCACAATTCTTATATATGCTTGTTGAGATTAATACTGTTCTGATTTCATTGAAATGAGTTGGATCACATTGAAAATTTTGAGTGATAAGATTTGAGTTGAATGTCATACCGTGAAAGGTTTTACTGAAGCACAAGAATGAAAAGAGACAGATATGACAAGCTAAAAGGGGGCCATACCCTGATTGGAAACACTTGCTAGTTAGCCATAAAGGGGACAAGCAATCCTTTGTTCAATTATCGATGATGAACTCTTCTTCGTTTGGGGTGCTGTCTGCTGGTCCACTAGAATTAAAGGAAAAAAAAGAAGAAGAAAAGTAAAGTGCAAGCAACTTGATTGATTTCTTTAACAAGTGGTCTATTATGCTTGACTTGGGAGCACAGATAGGCTTCACCACCTTTTGCCCTGAAATTTCAATAGACACCCTCAACTCCTAAATTATATCCACTGTCTTTTAAACTGTGAGGGAAAAACTAGTCTTGCCTAATTAAACTGTATCCTTTTAGAGTAAGAACATTCGGATGAGCAGTCACAAGGTAGATTCTCTCTAGTGCTCCACTCAAGATCGTGACCATCCAACCACTAGAAAAGAGGATAAGATGGAACAATTTTGGCTTGCAGCATATATATGAGAAAATAGTGCAAGCCTAATGATTGGTGTGCAATTGCATGTACATGTTCATGTACATGACCTCTCTAGCTTTTCAGGATTCAGGTTTTGTTGTCTTTAATTAAGGCTCCTGCTGAACATGTCGGTTCAACAAAGTAGTACTATCATTCTTTAATTTGTCTTAGGGTAATTAGGGAGCTGCCAGCGATTAAAGACGTTTATGATCCTGGATTCTTTCCCAGCATTACACTGATTGCTTGCTATGTTTTCAGAGAAGAGCAAAGTTTCAAATTGCAGTGTTTCAATATTTGATACTAAACTGAATTTGCATAACTGCACTATTACAAAGAAAAATTAGTTAAAACTTAACTCAGAAAGAAAGTTAAGGGGCTTTATAATATGATAAGTAGAAGTCAAATAACTAAACCTGACATCAAATGAAAGGTGAAAGAGAACACATGCTTCGTCAAAAATGAAATCCACTAATAACATGCTTTGAAGCCTAGTCTTGCCTAAAGCACACTTGAAAATTACTAGAACATTCAAATGGTTGTCATAAGGTAGATTCTCTCCACTGCTCCACTCAGATGACTATCCCGCAATTATAGAAGGGATGTGAAGGAACAAATTGACGACTGAGGAAAGAGTGCACAGGCAAAATGATTGCATGCTTTGTGGTATGAACATGTCTAACATGATTTTTTGACCTTTTTCAAGCTGTTTGTTTTACTGTCTTTAAGCCAACTGTTGACTCATTGGTTCATAAAAAAAAAAAAAAATTTCCTTATTGCAATTGCTATCAATCCTTTTTATTTAGGTATAATTGATTATTTGATGAAATTTATTTTATTTAAAAATGAGTCTCAAGATTGATTTAAGTATATTTAAATAATAAATTTTAATTCATAAAACAATATTTAAGTTTATAAGTACGGTTATACGTGAAAAATATTATAATATTCTCATAATGCTCATCCAAAAGATAGTATTAATTTGATTTCAAATTATCCAAGTCATAAAATTTTTTAATAATTTATCGAATAATTTAATTATTAAAAATTGATCTTTAAATTACTTCAATAATTTGATAATAATTTAAGATAATTTGTTTACCTCAGGAGTATTCATAGGACTAGTGTCTCACTTTGAAAATGTTTCATTATCAGATTCATTAAATTTTTTTAAAAAAATTTTTATTTGTGAAAATCAATTTATTCTCATAAATATTTTTTAATCTATTGTAAGAATTTTTTGTCAAAAATTATCCTCTAATATGTTGGTAGAATAGAAAACTTTATTTGTTTGTGAAAACAATTTATTTCCAAAAATATCTTATAATAATATATTGATAAGATTTTTTATCAAGAATTAGGCTCTATGTTAGTAGAATTTTAAAAAATATTTTTTAAGAAATTCATTAAGACCTTCTATAGTTTAATAAGAATTAACTCAATATTTAAATTTTTCAATAATTTAATAGGATTGAAAAATTTTATTTTAAACTTCTTTTTTAATTTTAAAAAAATCAATTAAAATAAATAAAAATTATCATGCAAATAATATCATACAATTATAATATAGTCATACAAAAATAATATAATTATGCAATAATATAATATATAAATTATCATGCAATTAATATAAAACATCATGTAATTAATTAATAATCATGTAAAAATATATACAAAAAACATCAGAAATAATGTTACCTTTTTCTTTTCTTCACTCTTTTAATAATAATAATAATAATAATAATAATAATAATAATAAAACACAAAAAAATAAGGAAATGGAAATAAAATAAAAAATCAAAAACAAAAATAAAAAGAAAATAAAAAGAGTTGTGATTAGTTGGATCTGAAGTCGGATTACGCGCAGATCTCTATGGATTGAGATGCGGATTCTATCTCTACAAAAAGACGTTGTTTGGTTTTGCTATATAAATAAATTTTTTTTAATTTTGTTTCAAAGCCTTCGGTTCTCTCTCTCTCGCTAAAATTATTTCCTCTAACTTCTTTTTAAAAATTTATCAAAAAATTCAAATTTCCCCCAATCTCTGACCAGATATGCAAATTCCAACACTGAGAAATTTAATCTACCACCGAAAATTTCAAATTTTTCCAAAAAACTCTATGAACTCAGAATTCGATCACTTTTGATCCCCGTGAATTCAAATAAAAATTTTAAAGCTTTGTCAAAAAATTCATAAAAGAATCCAAAATAATTAGAAAAGAAAAAACTTTTAAAAATGTCAAATTAAAAAAAAATTAAACTCCACAATTAAAACCCCATAATCAAAATAATCTTTGAACATCCAAACAAAACCCAAAACCCGTAAAAAAAAATTCTCAAATCCCAAAACTTAAAATTTTCTTAAATTCTAAAAAATCAACCTCAGACCAAAAAACAATAATATTTTAAGATATTTCAAATTCTCAAAATTCAAGCAACACTAGAGATTTATCAAAAAAATCAAAATCAAAATCCCTCCTTGAGTTCCCCAAACCCAAAAACCTATAAATCCCATAAAATCAAGAATTTAAAAATCCAATAAGATAGAAATTCAGAACTCTTCCCAAATTCAAACATACTAATTGTTTTTTCCTAATCCTCTTTATCCCTTTTCTTTGTGGTTGATGGTCTGTTCTTATAACGATTGAATTCCTTTTAAATTTAAAAATTAAATCAAATCGGTCAAGAATTTTATTGATTTAATTTGATTTGATTTTAATTTCTTATGACATTTCATTTTCATGCAAATTGAAATCAAAAGGTTATTCAAAATCGAATCGGTTCTTTTCTTTTTGGTTTTTTGATTTTTTTTTAGACCCTTTTTTTTAATTTTTTTAGAAAAAAAGTAAAATTAAACCATAAATTAAATTAAATCAAATTAAATTTAAATTTTTTTCTATTGGCCCCAAAGTTTTTCAATGGCCCCAAAAAAATTTTCAATCAAAATGAGATATCTAAATATCGGTGATTAAACTATCCTCTAAAAAATGACCGAGGAGTTCATGGCATAACATTTGAGACAAAAGATGATTCATATCTAATGAAAACTGTCTTCATGACGGAAGAAATCTACTGTTCTGACAACTGGATTTTAATGTTTACAAGAACAACGAGTTTACTGTTGTATCAATATCTCTTAGATCTCAAGGAAGCTATTAGCTGTAATGGTTTCTGAATACTTCAATTTATTAGACAGGTGAAGTTTACTCCATAATGACAATGACTGCTGTATAAGTATCAATCTAAGGATTTTAAAAACATCATTATTGCCAAACCTGATCCAAATTCCAGGTTTAAAGTCAACTTGTCATGTTGTTGATGGCAAATCATAAGCTTTTTCCTTAGAAACATCTAATGAGACACCAGACATTAATCCACACTGTCACTTCACATAGCAACATAATTATCTTGAGCACATATTGTGAAGGATCTCATTTATTATTCAGTGCCAGGCATGTTTGGATCTGTGTAAATCACCTAAAAAGCAAGGTGATTTTGGTAATTTCCTTTAATCAATCACAACCCAGTTTTGAAGAGAGCACTAAACCATTTTTATGCTCATCTATATAGTACATTGCAACAATAACCTAAATTCTGAAGAGTAATTTCAAATTTAGAGTGGTCATAGATCCCTGATGCTTGAAAAAAAAAATTATGGTCAAGATAATCTTTCTGTTTATCGAGAGGTGAAGATGCTAATACTAGTATAATTTTGTTCTCACACTCCTTTATCCCGCACCATCAATATGGTACCTATGAGATGTCATTTGGTATAATTACCAAGCAAATTATTTTGCTTCACAAAGTCCAGTATCTTTGTCACAAAAACCATCCCGATCTAGCAATTTTTGAGGTGGAGCACTCAACAGAGGAGAAGAAGGGCTTCCATAAGCATTCCGTCGACTGTTTCCACAGCCTAAACTTACTCTTGTGCTTACCCCAGTGATTGGATTTTTTCCATTTGCATACTTGCAGAGAGCCTATACAAACAAACCCAAAAAGTTATTTGGAATAAAAAAAAAAAAAAAAGGAACTATGAGGAGTTGGAGTGTGAATGAATCACCAAAGATACAGGTAAAATTATGAAAGAGCTGCAACCTTGATGCACTTTTCAGAAAAAACTGATGAAAGCAGTGGAGACTACTTGCTATTTGATATTAGCATTGTAGGCCAGCATCAAAAACATAAATGAAGCTCAAAAAGTTTGCGACTATGCTTACAGATCCAATTCTAAAAACGCACTCTACTCAAACTAATAAATTCCTTGACTTTTGGGCATCCTAGTTCTCTTTCAGTTGCAAGTTTCTATACTTGTGTATGTTCACATGAACAAGCCATTGGGAAAGCATAATTGACAAGGAGCATCTAAACTGCAGCTCAATTATTCACCAAGCCTTGAAGTACTACCAAGTTAGATAACCATCAGATGGAGTTCTGAGGCCAAAAAACTTTGCTGGTGCTCTAATTGCCACAGGTGCTTCCTTATAGATTCCAAGGTAAAAAGTTAACCATATAGAACTTCTAAAGAAAAGAATGCAGGTTCTAGGCTGAGGAAAGCTTCTAAATTTCGCTGCACGTTTGTTAGAGATAAATCAAAACAAAAGCATAGTGCACAACGGTTCAAAAAGCCATACTCCTACACAGAACAGTAGGGATATTTTACCATGAATCTGATATTACAGTGTCTGCAAATAATTGAAACACGCTAGCTCCATGAGCTAATTTCTGTCTTTCTCTCACACATCAAGGGAAGAAAAACTTCTTATTCACATGCCAAGACAGGAACAAGAGCTAAGTCGGGTTGACTTACAATGTTCATGAAAAGGTCTCTACAAGGCCATGACTATTCTTCCGTTGTACATGCAAGGTATCAATTTCGATGACATTGAAGAAGAAAATAGTACTATAAGCTAGTTGCAATTATTTCTGCTGCCACAGCATTTAATGGACTCAACTATACATACTAGTGCTTAAGTTCTAGCACCATATACGATAATTGCAAATAAATGCAACATCTTTATGAATGCTGATTCAATCAGCTTATTCTGGTCTCTAAATTCCCTAGCGTGATACAGTGTGGTTAAAATACTAGTAAAACCACTATACATGCTGCACACTTCACAATACAGGTGCAATAACTTGAAACTTCAGGTGACTAGACAAGTTGCCTTTGGTTTTGGAACTGTTTGTCGTTGGCCAAAGCACACTGCTCCCTAAAATCCTACTTGCTCCATCAATATCTAGGGGATGGTTGCAGTTTGGCAGTAACAAAAACAGTGAACAATGGCCCAGGCAGCGGATGACATGGTTGATGGTACATAATGGCGAGACAATCTGCCATCACACTAATACCAAGTGGGTCCTGCAAAACTTAATGGCTTGCTTATTGAAGGAATCAAATATTGATTTAGCTATTCATGGTGTCCGGTTAATATAGTAATGGAGTCAGTAAATATGGAGGCTGGATACCAACATATTTGACCAGATATAATATGACTGAAATAAAGTTGCCACTATATCCAAATAGACTTTTTAGTTTTCGATTCAACTCACCAGCTGACATTTATATTTCCGAAGAAAGTTGCATTAATTATGCTTTATAACAAGTTAAATGACAAGCAGGTGCAATCTTTGAACTGAATTTATACATGGACAAGCCTATAAACTATCTGAACAATAAATTTAGATTTAGATTTAGATTTAGATTTGATATTGCAATTTTTTAGAGCTTTACTAATATTCTTTATTGTTCACATTAGTTATCTTGAGTGATGCAAATTGAAGGCCACGGATCACAGATTGATGTAAATTTTTTTTTCCCTAATTTTAATTGATTGGTTATCTCTTACTTGTTCTGTTTTCAGGGCAGAGAGCCAAGTTTGATATCGATCGGTGCCTTCGGCTTCTACAGATATTGGGTATTTGGGTTAATCATCAGTGACTCTTTACTGTTTTTCATGTATGGAAGGTATGGCACATAGGGAAACAAAACAAATTACAAAGAAGGATTATAAACAAACCCATAAAAGCTATGAATACCTGCTTCTGAGGAAGATCAATAACAGCATCACTGAAATCAGCGCCTTCAATCAAGGCACCCCCGAGATCACTTCGGGTGAGGACAGATCTTGCTAGCACAGCATTTGTAAGATTAGCCTCATTGAGAACCTGAAGCAAAATGGATTCTTTATTAGAAGCTAGACTTGATTTTCTATAAACTAATGGTTACTTCCCCTAACTTGAAGAGTATGAATAGCAAGCAATTCTCTGTCAGAATTTATAACATGACTCCTGTAGCATAAAAAATTAATTGGTCAAAGAATCAGCACCAAGGTTTGGAAAACATTACCATGCGATCCATCAATGTGTCACTCAGATCAGCACCTGTGAAATCAAATTAAATATGATCAAATAAATCAAGGAAAATCATCTCATTTACATCCAATCCACCAATGATTTATAAAAGAATGAAACTCAAATAATAATAAAACAAATATAATTGATATTTAATTCATCTCCTTGTCCTCCAAGACTTTCTCCTAACCATATTTTTTTATAATTAAAATAACGTATAAGATTATTTTTATTCTCTTATCCGCCATAGATAATCCAAATAACCCTAAAACACTCTCCTAATTGTACAAGCAGGGATGGAGCCACGAATAAATGTGAGGGGCCAATATATTATTGCATTAATTTTTTTTTTAAAATAATGATGTTAAAAATCAATAAATAATTTTTTATTTTTAATTATTAATATTTTAAAATAAACTAATCAATTTAAAGTTTATTTTTTGTATAAAAGTTTTGTATTATTGAATTTAAAGCTATTAAAAAACATTTATAATAAAAGCAATTATGTAGAATATTATATATATGAAATGAAATGTTCAATTTTAACCATTAACACATACTTTTTTCTCATCAAAAAGAAATTTAATTGTAGTTCTGTTATTTTCAAAGTTATAACTGATTGAACTATTCAATATCAAAAAATACCAAACAATGCCACGTAAAAATGATTTTTAAAAAGTTTATTGAAAAATTCAGACTAATTATATAAAAGAGACTGTTGTTTAAGGAAAAAAAAAGTATATTTGAATACACAGAAGAGTACTTAAGAATTTGTTTAAGGATTATATGCAATGTTTGAAAGTTTTAATTGCAAAATAAAAAACTTGAAAAGAATTAAGGGGTCAAGTAAGGATTAGTAAATGATTAAAGGGGTATTTAATGAGTTAATGATAATTTTTAGATTTTTAGAGGGGCTCAAGCAAAAATTTAAAATAAAATAAGAGAAATATGTGTACAATGTTTCCTTCCTTCCAACGCAAGGCAACTAAGCAAAGCAATATAAAAAAGGTTTCAGGGTTTTCTTTTGCCTTCATTATCTACTCCTATTATCATTCAACCCTAAGCCTTTAGGGTAAGTTCTTTATTCTTTTCTCTCCTCAATTCCTTCCAAATTTATTTCTGGTTTTTGCCTTTTTCTCTCCCTGTTTTTAACTATTTTATCTATATATTCATACCAATTTTCCTTTTCGATTAACCACCCAGTATTGAAAATCATCAATCAAAAACAATGGTCTCGCAAAACAGTCATGCTTCTTCAGAAGAAAGTTTGGAAAAGCAAAAGAAAAGAAAAGCTGGATGTGGTTGTTCTAATATTGTTGTCTCCTCATCCAAGCGGATGATACCTTTTGTTCGTGATTTTCCTAGGCGTTGTGATCCTTGGGAAAGATTTGCAACTCAATGCACTCAATATTCAGTTCAATCAGAGTCGTCTAGCTCTGGCTCGTTTTCTTATTCATCAGAATCTGAGGATTTGGTGGTTCCGTTAGATGCGCTTGAATCTGTTTCCTCAAAGGAAGTTGAAATAAAAGATGTACCACAGGCTTTGGATACCACAAACCAAATTCACCCGTTGAAAGCTTCAGACCATGAAGCTAAAGAATTACCTGAGAAAGTTGTATATGGGTTCATGCCTAAAGGTTTCAAACCCCACAAAAGAGCCTTGGCTATCCGGGATTATCCTATTCCACCAAGAAGATTTCAAACTCCATTCTCTGAAGATTCACTTCAATCAGAAGTGCCAGACTGTAACCCTAGGTATGATTCAGAATTTGAGGGCTTAATTGTTTCTTTTTCTTTTTGGGAGAGTGGGCTTAACGAATCAATAAAATCAGCGGAAGAGGAGACACCAAAGGCCTTGGATGATATCAAACAGACTGACTTGGAAGAAACTTCAGAATATGAAGCTAAAGAATTCTCAAAGGAAGCTGAATTGGAGTTAAGCAGGTCAAGGTATGATTTGGAATCTGGAGACTCAATAATTTCCATGTATAACATTAGCCTTAATTCATTCGGATTATCAGAAGAAGAAGAAGAACATGGAATAGATATGCCAAAGGTTATAGATTCCAAGGGCTTGATTGACCATTCAGAAACTACAGAGCATGAAGCTACAGATTTAAAAGAGGAATTAGCATCTAAGGGTTGTGATCCTTGGGAAAGATTTTCAACTCAATGCTCTCAATGTTCAGTTCAATCCGCGTCGTCTAGCTTGAGCTCGTTTTACTATTCATCAGAATGTGAGGTTTTGGCGGTTCCGTTACTTGAAGATGCGCTTGAATCTGTTTCCTCAAGGGAAGTTGAAATAAAAGATGTTCCACAGGCTTTTCATACCACAAACCCAATTGACCTGTTGAAAACTTCAGACCGTGAAGCTAAAGAATTACCTGAGAAAGTTGTGTCTGGTTTCATACCTGAAGGTTTTAAACCCTGCAAAAAGGCCTTGGCTATCCGGGATTATCCTATTCCACCAAGAAGATTTAGAACTCCATTCTGTGAAGATTTAGTTCAATCAGAAGTGCCAGACGCAAACCTGAGGTATGATTCAGAATTTGAGGACTTAATGGTTTTTTTTCCAGAGAAGACACCAAAGGCCTTGGATGACATCAAACCGATTGACTTGGAAGAAACTTCAGAGTATGAAGCTAAAAAATTATCAAAGGAATTTGAATTGGAGTTCAGCAGCTCAAGGTATGATTTGGAATATGGGGACTCAATAATTTCTATGTATAACATTAGCCTTAATTCATTCGGATTATCAGAAGAAGAAGAAGAACAAGGAATAGATATTGCAAAGGTTATAGATTCCATGGGCTTGATTGACCAGTCATCTAACTTCATGCCTCCGATTCTTCCACCCAACACCATAGACTCAACAACTACCGATTTTCCAATGGCTGTATCAGAGTCTGGAAAAGTTCCAACTACTGTGGAAAATGAAGTGCCTAAAGACCCTAAACAGATAGTAATAGCATTGTTGGCTGCACCAAATTGCCATGGACGCAGAAGAAAATAGCATTCTCATCAAATTCAACCAGGAATACAAACAAAAGGAAAAGAAAGAAGCATTGATTTCCAAAGTTGGGCAAGCCCGATCTTCCAGAAGATTCACAAGTTATCAGTAGATGATAATTTTCCTTACTTTTTGATAGAATTTTCACTTTGGTTTGAATGTTTGATATGATGCAAAAACCAATCATTATCTATGCATGTAAGTCTTATAGTTACCATATATGAAGTTAACTAATTTTCTTTGGCAGCAAATTTACCTGTGAAATTTGTCTTGTATGCAACTGCTTTCTCAAGGTATGCACCATTGAATGTTGAACCACTAAAATCAGATTCCCTCATATCAGCAGCTGTGAAGTTTGCCCTTCTGTATCAACCGTTTAGATTTCAGATTGATTAGGAACTTACACACCAAAACATTCCACTATTAAATTTCTTTTGATAACTCAATTTGATTGTTTAGTACAAATTCAAAGTCACCGTCCCCTTACTAAGAAATATGCCCAATTTGTAGTTACAGACTAACGTGTTTAAAACATAAATGCACAAATAGGAATTCTTTAATCTGCAAAGTTACCTGAAATTTTCATTCACATGAACTGCTTTCCTGCGTAACAAAAGAAACACACAAAATCAACCCCCTTCCTAAACCAAAAATAAAAATGTTTACAATAAACGATGCTCTTATGAAATGCACCTTAAATCTGCAGAACCAAACTGGGCTGCCGATCCAATGCCAAATTCACCACGAGTTTCTGCCTCGTACTTATTAAGTTCAGCCAGGGCAGACATATCAGAGGCAAAAGCAACCATTGCAGCTGCCAATGCCGTTGAAACCAAGGCTTTCCAACTCTTAAACTTAGCATCCGTGACTTGAAACTTATTGTTGGAGCAATCTTACTTTTCCAAAGAAAAACTCTGTTAAAATTGATTACTGCGAACACAAAATAATTTTCATCAAACAAGCAGAATCAAGATCATTACTCACCGCGAAGTCGGGCTTTAATGTCTGGGTTATTTATCTGGCAAAAGACCCCGAAACGTTTTGAGACTGATTGCAGATGGTAACATGGAGCTTTTGAAGGAGAAGGAAAAGAAATACAAAGAGAATTGATGGATAAGGAGGAGACTGAAGCCACTGCCATTTACGAATAATAGTTGGTTTTTTCCCTGGTTGTTATGGAGAGGAAATGTGGAGGGAAACGGGAAGTTGGTTAGAAAGGATTAGCTCTCGCACGTTTCATATACGCTGGCTCCATTTTTATCCACTTGTTTTCCAGCAAGGGGATTGGTCGGGATTAGCACACGTGTCTTTCTTTCTTCCCTGGTTATTGCCATTCCGCCTGTTTTTTATTTTTATGGGCCCATCTTATATATCTTAAAATTTTTTATCACTGTATAACGAGCTGAAGATTCATTTTAGCTTTTAATGATTGGCTTCTTCTACTCCGTAACCTTTTGATATAACAAAAAATAAAAGAAAAAGTTTATTCTGACATTTGATGTGTTAAAAAAATTTTACTAATATAAAATTCATCCCTAATTCAGCTTCAATCTCATCTATCTTTGATTTTTTGAATTAAATCTTTTAATTTCTAAAACAAATTGCAATGGCGAGTTTCTAGTCTCCAGGCTTCTTAGTGGGCCAGTATGGGCCTTGAGGTCCAGTATCTCCAGACAGAAGTTATTGGGCAGAAGATGTGGGTCCATCCGGACGTAAGCCTCCGTGGTGCAGTCTGAAGTCTGAATTTCCCCTACCTAGTATTGGGCAAATTGGCCTAAGATCAGTTCCGTTACATATTTATATTTTTTTAATTAGTATACTATAACAATAAATGAATAATATAAAGTACAAACCTAAGTCTAAACTCCAAAATAAAATTTCGGAGGCACATATATAGCTCAAAACCCCCAAACCAAACGTACCCTAAGTCTAAACTCCATGAACATTTGATCATTTAAACCTCTTAATACATAAGCAGATAATCTTATTCTTCTAGTATAGATAGAATGAATTTTTGTAAATGAACAATGTGATTACATTTTTTTTTAGGATAAAGGAAGTAATTAGTAAATATGTAGTTCAAACCCTATACCATCCTGTTTAATGAGTGAGGAGTGAATTCTGAAGCCCGTGTCCTATAGCTTATTGTGTGGTTCAGAAACAACAAGAAGTTCCTATTGCCCTTGCAGCAGCAGTAGCAGCAGCAGCAACGGCGGCGGCAGAGTGATAACTGCAATGAGATGGAAAAGCATGTGGGGTAACAATAACATTGATGTCCAGATCCAGTTCAAGCCAAGCCAAAATGTATAGCTATCAATCTATAAATCTAGCGATCAGCTCCCTCTTCAACTCGTACGTACGTTAGTTCAGGGGGGGATTGGGGAAGGCAAAAGCCAACACGAGGTTCAGTTTGAGACTAGGGAGATACCCACAAAAATATATATATCGGACACAACAAATTCACAATCAACTTTATCGATTTCTACCCAACCTCATCACCACCAGGCACAAGCATAAGAAATAAAGAAAGCAAAAGTGAGAGAAAAAGAGAAGGTCATATATATCCCCACAAATACAAACAGCAACAAATAGCTTCTGCAGGCTTTATACAGAGAGAGATAGACTGCTTTTCCTTATTTCGTACATATAGGCATGAATGTCTTCACTAACACAACTCAACAAACAGCCAAGCTACGATGGGTCACTAGTGAAATCAATTTATTAGTATTTATATATAATTTAAAGCGAACACTAGAAAAAGAAAGAAAGAAAAATGAAGGAAATGAAGGATCATGACATATATGTATAGATAATATGAGTTTATATTTGATGCACTTTATACACTGTAATCAAATGATGTCATCGAGAAAGTTTTTGTGCATATTGAAGATGAAGGATGATAATAATTAAGAAAGAAAATCAAATTAGTACTTATATAACGGATTATTATCCCAAGTATATACCGGTGGGTTTTACTTTCCTTACGGCCCCTCATTCCCTTTGTGAATGATGAACACAATATATAAAGCACCAATTGCTTGACCATCAGGCCATAAAACCCGGTTTTATATCTTCATAAAAGTTACCAAAAATACACTATAAACATAATATGAATATCAGCTAGAATAAAACAATATCCTTGCCTCTTAAGTCTTTTTCTTTTTTGGGCCAGCCAATACAAACAGAAAATTGAAAATGTGACTGAGGTATCATAATATATTTTTAATTTTAACAAGTAGAGTAGAGAGCGGACAGCAGGGAAAGTATATATATACATAATGTCAAAATAGTAAGTAAGACTCCATGACTGTCTAGTTTCTAACTTAGAATCATAGCGTCGTCAGGTAAGATTTGTAGTTTTCTTTCTTGTACGCATTGCCCTATATATTTAATGGTATAATCCTAATACCCTCACATTTAGAATGGAAGATATATCATTGTATTTGCAGAATTGCATTGCTTTTCCAGCTGAGGAAGAGTAGTTTTTGGCGACAAAGCAAGCGCCTGTAAGCATTCAGAGAGGAAAAAGGAACAATGAAACTTTTGGGTTGCAAAGAGAATCAAAAACCAACTAAGTCATATACATTAGTACTATACATGTAATATAAATCTTAATTATTACATCAAGTTAAGACTAATAATTGGTAAATCCTTTTACATTCTTTTCTTCAAATTTCATAATTAAAATAAACCAGGCTTTTTAAAATCATTGTTTTGATAAAACAAAATTATTTGGTTGTGAGGTCCATGAATGAGCACTTGTTTATGTATTAAAGTACTTAAATTATTTGGTGTGAGGTCCATGAATGATCCAAACGCAATATATCAATTGTTTTATGTAGTAAAGTGCTTGAAGGAGAATTTTTTTTTTTTCATTTTGTACTGCTACCGGATTTAATTTGTTTACTTTTTATATTAATTAAGGCCTCAAGCGAATAGCCTTTCGTCTCTTTTCAAATTTGACTTTTGAGCAAAAGATCACTCATTCAAGAGTGTGAGTCAGATTCTCACAGGCTCACTTCCCTTTCAGCATGGTAATGGGTATGGTTTAAATTTTGAATAGCTCATTCTGATGGCCTGTAAAAGGCCAAGAAACTTTACAAACTTCTTTTTTCCTTTCTGATTTCAATTACACTACATTTAATGTGTTGCATACGAGTTTACAAAGGCCCCCATTCCCACAATGGTAAGCAGCTTTAATTCTTACTTGATTGCTCACTTTTCTATCATGAAGAGAAGGGTAAAAAAACTCCATGAGAATGAAACATTATAAAAAGGAAAAAAAAAAAGAAAAGAATATTCAAAAGAGAATTTGCATTTCATTTGAGTTTTGGCAACTATGTATTTACAAAAAATTAGCAAAGTTAGAATAGGTAGGTTTGAAGAAATTATAACAAAAACCCTAGAGATCTCTATGTGAGAAAAAGAAAGTAAAAAAGGATTCTAACCAAATTACCAAACATAAGCGAAAAAGAAATAGAAATTTAGGAAAGGATATTTCAAAAAAAAAAAAAAAGGAAAGGACAAAGGTTGTAACAGGGGAGCAAAGTCTGTGGCCACTGCCGAATGGGTTTCAACTGACTTAAAGACGTTTCTGTCTGCATGTAAGTCGAGAGAGATTGAGTGGTCATTTCAGCAAAAGTAACCTTTCAGCTCTAAATAAATACACATGACATAAAATTAATTTTGGTCCTTTAATTTCTGCTCTTTTTTTGTTTTATTATATTATGTACTTAAAACTATATATAAAAGCATGCATGCCGTTTGATGATTGTGCCGTGATGACCTGTTATGTTATGTTATGTTACCATGATAATCTGTTATGTTATGTTATGTTATGTTATGTTATGTTATGTTATGTTATGTTATGTTATGTTGATTGTACGAATGAATGAATAAATGCATAAGGAATGTGGATGAATGCAGATGGGGATGGAGAGCCCTTAGGAGGCGGAAGCGGGGAAGCTGATAATACGGGGAGAGAGGTGAGGGGCTTATTACCCGGGAGGTACAAAGGAGGGTTAGGGTTTTGGGGTTCGGAAATTTAGGCAATCAAAAGTGTAAAATAATAATTTTATCAGAAAAAGGAAGAAAACACTATGCAAATACAGCCTCTTAACTGCTGAAAACAACAGGTGAGTGAGTGAAAGCTATGTCACCCCATGCACACGTCCCTTTCTAGCTCCTCTCCCCCATATCTGCCGCCTCAGCCCTTTCTCTCTTTCTCACTCACACAAACACAAACTGTGCCTTGGGAATGCCAACCACACATATCATGAATCCATGATATGTGTGTATGTCTTACATATATGTATGATGTTATGATGTAGTATATGTCATGCATGTCTTAGTACCAAAATTTAGATCCATGGGTACATACATATACCATATGTTAGCTACAAACAAGACCAATAAACAGGAGGAAAAGAGAGAAGCGGATTTCCCTCTGCCTTTGTTGTTTTTCCCCTCTTCTCTCTCTCTTTTTGCCGTCTTATATCTAGCAGACCAAGTAGATTCATCCATCTTCTCTCTCTTTCTTTCCTCATACTCTCTCTTTCTCTCACAACTCATAATCAAGAAAAGCAGATCCAAGGTGGTTGTTAAGCTGTCATTCTATCAATCAATCAATCAATCCCACCAAAGAGATTGCAATCATCAATCAATTTTAAAAGAGAAAGGAAGGGGCAATCAAAGAAGATGTCCTCCTCCTCTACTTTGTCTTTGGACCACCTCCCTCCCTCCGAGCAGCTCTGTTATGTACATTGCAACATTTGCGACACTGTCCTTGCGGTATTCTTAACCACTGTTTGCCTTCTTTGCGCATCCCTTTACTTTCCTTCCTCTTTCACTTTTCTTGTTTAGCGTTTTGTTTTACCAATTAGGATCTCACTTAGGGTTTTCTTTTTCTTTCCTTTTCCTTATGTCCTTCTTGCTATATATGTATATCTCCTTTATAAGGATGATGTTTTTCACTTGGGGATTCTTTGTTTTGTGCTATATAGGTCAGTGTTCCTTGCACAAGTTTGTTCAAGACTGTAACGGTTCGATGTGGGCACTGCACCAATCTTTTGCCAGTGAACATGCGCGGGTTGCTTCTGCCTTCGGCTAATCAGTTTCATTTGGCTCACAGTTTCTTCTCTCCTTCCCATAATCTTCTGGTATAAAAATATAAACGTGTGTGATGATATATAAGCAATTTTTGTGGACCATATTTTTCTGATTAAGTTGCTAAACATTAGTATTTGATTCTTACTAATGACAAATTAATACTACTTGTTACTGCTACTTTCTTAGCATCCAGACCAGAAATGAAATCTGTATTTTTAGCCTGGTTTAATGACTTTATTTCCAGGAAGAGATCTCAAATCCTTCTCCAAACTTTTTGGTCAATCACACCAACACGAATGACTTCAACTTACCCCCTCGTGGAGTAGCTGATGAGCTTCCAAGGCCTCCAGTTATCAACAGACGTGAGTGTCCAGGACTCTTTTTCTTTGAATATTGTTTGTATGAAACTATAGAAACTGTTTTTGTCAAACCCACTGTGCACTTGTTTTTTCTAAGATTCTCTAAATCCTTGCGCTTTATATCCCTGTTCAACAAGGAGAGGCAGGGAATGATTATAGCACCTGCAAAAGAAGGCAATGAAATCAGGACATTTCCATTATTTCCACTCTTCCCTGCAATCTTGAAGGTCCCTTCACAACGTGTTAGAGAAGAACGAGAAACGTTCTTTTTTTCACCAATATACTAAGAACTCTCCAATGCCTGCCATTTCAGCCTTCTGTTTCAAAACCAGACTCCCTGATTTAGAAAAGAAATCTAACTTTCTTGTCTTTTCATTATAATTGACAGTTCAAAAAACAAAAATTTTGTTTCTTTAATACTTGCAAAACGGCCAACAGTCCTATATAACTTAAGCACCATATCACCATCACCCAGAAAACCAAGATGACATCATGGTCAGGCACCAATAAATTAATTTCTTTCTGCCCTCAAATTCTTGTTTCCTTGTTATTGGTAATAATTGATCAAAGGCTTAGCCAAGTTTTAAAGACAAGAAAACATCGCTTGACACTCGACAGTTGGGGCCCTTCCACCACACTGCCAAATGAACCAATAGTCAGTAAAGAATGATAGAGCATTTTCTTCTCCAGTAAATGTAGATAGTGATCTGGTAAGAGAATCTTATGAATGAATACATTGAATAGTGAAATTACAAAAGGATGGTGAAGTGACAGTGGAGAAAAAGATAAAAAAGAAAGAAGCAGAATTCTACTAAAAGTCAGTATAGTGATTCTAATGTGTCTGTCTGTCCGTGTTCAGCTCCGGAGAAGCGACAGAGAGTCCCCTCCGCGTACAACCGATTCATCAAGTAAGCAATCATTTAAGGCAATATCATTTTTCACATTTATGTCAAATACATTTTCTATATACATACATACATACATGACATTACATGTATGTCTGTGCATACATTTTTTTTCTTGAAATACAAAGTTTCTAAATGTGAAATGGATTTTTTTTTTTTTGGTGAATGATCAATCAATGCTGCAGGGACGAGATCCAACGCATCAAGGCTGGAAATCCTGATATAACTCACAGAGAAGCCTTCAGTGCAGCTGCAAAGAATGTAAGATCCAAGACCAAAAAAAAGAATCTTTGGGGATATATGATTTTGCTTTCTTTACCAAATTAGCTAGGGTTCTTATATCACACAGAAAAACAAAGTTAGGGTTTCCTTTAATTTATCTTCTTCTTTCTCTTTTCTTTTTTCGGCCTACTTCGATTACACAGTCTTTTGATGGGGTCCTTTGACTGATCCTATTCCTATTTTGTTTTCTTTTTGTCAGTGGGCCCACTTCCCACATATTCACTTTGGCCTCATGCCTGATCAGACTGCCAAGAAGACTAGCGTACGCCAGCAGGTGACTTTTGCACCCTTTCTTTCCCCATGGCCAAAAATATAAGTTGATGAAGCTGATAGAAAATTTTCTTTCCATTTGAGTCTTTGTAGGAAGGAGGGGACGTTCTCAAGAAAGACGGGTTTTTTGCTTCAGCTAATGTGGGTGTCTCTCCTTATTAAGTAGGGAGCTGTTCGAGCTCTAGACTGCTGTTTTCCTTTGTTCCTGTCTAGCAATCTGCCATTAGATCTCTCTCTTTCTCTATCTCTCAGTGCAGTCTCAGTTGCAGAGAAAGAACTTGGAGGTCAAGATGCTGGTCGAGTTTGGCTACTCTAGTGTTATTAATTCTTTCATAACCCATCTGGTATTGTACCCCTTTTAATGTTTATATAGTTTGATAAGATATCTAGTACTGATGTTTAAGCATGTACTTCTAGTTTTAGATAATATCCTGCGTCCACCTTTGCTTGAAAAAAAAACCTTACTCTTAATGTCATTAATCAGTTTCTTCTCTCATCACTCTTATCTTATGAGAAAAATATTAATTCTTCCATTTTATCACATTATAATATTATCACAAGTGCTAAATCTTGAGCAAAAAAATATACATTAATTATCATAAGTAATCAAGTAACTAATACTATTTTGGCAGAGTTTGGTGATGCAAGTGTATATACATATGTGATATATGTCTTGACTTTTTATATTGATTTTAATTGTTAATTTGGTATATTTTGTTTTCTCCTCTTAGGCTGGTTTGCAGTAATTTTTTTTACCATTTCAGAATAAAAATGGAATTATTCATTTACTTGAGGAGGTTTCATGTCCATCAGTACATTCTATTTTCCGCAATATATTTTGTACAATTATTGCTTTTTATAATTGAGCTGAGTAATAAAAAAGTTAAGAGGACAAAAATAATTGGGAGAAATTGAAATTATTCATGTCGGTAAAACTAAAGTCATTAAATTCATGAGAAACTAAGTAAAGACAACGTGATCATATATTGATTTCTAGTTAGAGGAATTGTTATACATACATATATATGTATATATAACATATTGAGTATTATATATGCATGTGCATGGGGTTTGGTTGAAATAGTTTTCAAAAGAAAAAAAAAAAAAAAACCTAGTGTTGTTTTAAGGGTACTTTAACAAAATCTTCAAAATAATCTAAATTTTCAATTGCTCATGTTGATGTGCATGGAGGAAAAATACGATACTCGTACTTGTGCGCAAATGAAACAGAGGAAGGCAACCGTCGAGAAATAACTCAAAGAGGCCATTGCCGACCTTTCCAGCCCCTCCTCTCCGCATGATTGCTTTTCATTAGGTTTAGAACATCCATCTGACAGGCCAGGCCATCCCCTTTATACTCGCTTGGCCCAGCTAAGAGTGATGTCAGTTGTCCACAAAAAACCTGCTACTTTTTGGTAGAAAGGATGGTTTAGCTGATTGCTCAACCAATTTAATATTAAAATTGAAAATTGCCGGCCCATATCACGCTGATGCGTCCAGGCCCCAGCTCTTTGAGTCTGAGAAAAGCAGGCAAAAAAACAAGGTGCACAGCAATCCGAAGAGGATTACAATTTGCAAGCCTTGTTTGATAACGGGGAACACAATCATACCATCAAATAGTGTTGGTGTTATGAATATTTATAATTGCACTTACTTTTCAGACCCATCATTATTCCATAAAGACAGATGGAATCCATGACTGTATATTACAATAAAGGCATAGTACCTGGTTAAAAAAAAAAAAGTTCCAAAATCTCTTTAAAAAACGGGTAGAAAAGGTAAAAATTATAAACAAATCCTTTTTTTTTTCCTTCACATGTGCAATTCTGTAATACCAATATATAACCTCCATATTTATATATTAATATCACAAATAAAATTATTCATGATTGGACCGAGTCAAATCTTATTAGTCTTTTGAATCTCATGCCCAAGGCTCGGCGTATTGGACCTTAGAAGCTTTATTTTTTAAAATATATTACAATTTTAATTAATATTTTTTAAATATATTTTAAAATTAAAATATTTTATTAATTAAAGAATAATTTAAGTAAAGCCGAATCCAAACTTAAAAGCTTTCGGTCAAAATTCATCTTGGGTTAGCTCAGACCCATAAGACAGAGCACAAAGGCCTTGAACAGATCTGATCACAAAGCTTTTCCAACCCAAAAATGTGGTTCAGCTTAGCTTTGATTTACACGAGTAGAAATTTTTTCTTCGTGTAAGTCTTTGTTAAACTTGTTATAATGTTAGTAGCTTTGTGAAGGCCGAAGGGGTATTTCATTGCAAGTTGTTCCTCCCTCCAAAGCAGAATGGAAATGGCGTGAAAATGCAGCCTTTTCAACTCAAACATACCCTAGAATTTCCCACATCCAGCTTTTTAGAAATCGAGCTGGCTTAACAGAGGCAAAGCTAGGGAAAGAAACCACACTGAAGGAAGCATGATTTACAGCCAGACTCGTCATGTTCTACCACAGATGGGCCTAAAAATGGATCCTGCTTATCTTTTATTTTCCCTGGTTTGTGTCACTCTCGAGTTAAAAAATCACGTTTGTTGAGTTACCATTCTTGTCCGATCTCATTAAAATTCATTCAAGCATACATAATGCTACAGCTTTTTCGTTTGGGTGGAATTTAAAAATTATGACTGATGTAGTAGTGCTTACAACTACTACACCAGTCGTAATTTATTTTCTCTACAACACATTTTTATCATAGGTTGGTTCTCTGTATGAAATGGCACTGTTGACCTGCATACAAAACCTCAAATGCTCACAGCATTTCTACAGCCATCAACCACATTGGAAAGGGGAAATCAAATGTGCAAGTTCATAACTCATACACCCACCCATGCACAAACATATACAATAACATACATTCATGCATGCATACATACATATATGTAAATGTGTGTAGGAGAGAAGAATTTAAGCACAAGTTTGTGAAACGGGTAGATATAGATGTCGTTTGTAGAAAAGCATGAAGGAACAGACAAATCTAGACTCGAGGGTAAATTGTATTGAAAATTGATGAATTGCCATCAGTGCATAATTATAGGTATTAAAAGAATGCTATTCCCAATAAATTAAACAAGGAACCCCGAGGGCATTAACAACGTTGTGAACAAAAAAAAAATGTCAAAATCACCCAAGATTCATATCAACAAGACTACACTTGCACACCTAAACACACAACCACAAACGTTACTTGAGAAGCTGGGTTCCGACAAGCAAAGACACCCTAAAAGAAAACACCTAGCGGGAAAGGAGTAGTGCAGAGGCAACCATCAGCACCGTGAAGAACAGTTTCGATCTACTGCCTGTGATTGATGTTGCCAAAGAAATATCCTGTGGCCTGAAAAAGAAACCGAGGAGAATCAGAGAACTAGCCAACATGATTTCAAGCAACTTAACAAGAAAATGTTCACATAAGAGGACTCATTCTGCATACTTCTGCAATTTGCTGAGGGCACCACAATAGAGGGCATTGTCTGGCATAGGCAATTCAGTTTTGTTCGTAGCCTCTGGATTGACAACCCTGACATATGTTTCTTGGCCAAGATACCATGAGTCAAGGTTTTCTGTTCGAAGGTTCCAGACTCCAACATTGTCAAGTGATATCAAGATTGCTGTCCATGCACCAGGATAAACCTACAGAGACAGATTACATTTGAGCCTTCTTAACAAAAGAATGAGGTATCTCGTGAATTTCATCTGACATGAGGGATCTCAGTAGGCATTGTTGGTGGCAAGTCCAAGACTAGCAGACTAAGCTTTAATGCTTACTTTATAAATGTCACCACAAACTACGGTGAATATAATCATTGAGAAATGAACCCAGGAATTAAAGCTATCCCAAACAGCTTGATAAATACTGCTGGCATTGTTTATATCCAACATCATAAAGAGCAAGGCACAATATTCCAGAAAAGAAATACCAAAAATGTATTTGCAAATGCTAGAACCCTAAAGGCAGGGAAAAGAAAGCATTAGTTCAAGCTAAAATATTGTGTAAATGATAAAAAACGTTTCTCCTCCCGAACTTCACAAGGGGAGCATCAATTCAAACCAGTTCAGTCAGCAGCGTATTATCAGTGCAAACTCAGAGATCTCCCATTAGTTATAATTACCTAAAATACTAATATAACATTTACATATGAACTCCAATCATTAAAACAGCTCCAGCATGGCCTTGTTTTTTTCACTGGTAAATATCAAGCAAAAACGAAATAACACTAACTTGCCAAAGCTTTAGATGGAAGCATAATAAAACTAAAAGCACAAGTCTCCAATAACCTACCTGTGTTGTGGTGCGGGCAATGCCATCCCACTTGTTATATGTGCCCCTGCTATTCTCTGACCACTCACCATAATCCATTCTGCAACAAGATAATTGAAGAGTTAGTATTAAAATCATATTGAAAATGCATATGTTTATACATGAATGACGTGTAATGGAAACAAATTCCTACCCAACAACGAAAAATGCATATCCACTCATGTGATAGCTCTGCACCTTGGTCTCATTGTTCTGTAGGATGACTTCCATAAATCCCCTATACGTTCCATTAATTACTGATGTTTCCATTTTAGTTGGCCCTGTAAGTGGTCTGCTGGGAAAATCAAGCTTATATACTCCCTTAACCTTGAACTGGTCAGCCAGCCGGATTGGTGTAGCAGGATTGACAAACGATATCCCACTGAGTGTTGTTCGTCTTTTCCCATCGATAGTCACCGGTGGCTTGTTTCTCAACAAAAAAATTTCAGTCACATTGATTGAGCCATATCTAAAAGATCCCTGCGGGTTAGGGCGAGCACCACTGGCAGATACATTCCACCTGCATAATTTAAGTACAGAAAAGTGATAAGGCATAACCAACTAAAGTATTCAAATAATTCCTTCCCAACATTTGAAGATATGTGACAACTAAAATAACACTAAAAATACATATTCTTCACAATAATTTAGAATTCCATGATAATTTTCCTCTTTCAAATGATTTCATACCAGCCATATAGACTTTCCTCTTCACTGGAAAGCAGTACTGCACAAAAAAAGTATCATAACCAAATTTACAGGTTTACTGTTCTAAGTGAAGATGAAATATGAAACAGAAAACTCAAGAGTCAATGCTTCAGATATCCTGAACTTATCATATTGTTTGAAGTCTCAAAGAGTATCACCACAAACAAGTTAGCCATACAGGCAAAAAATCCAATGTGTGAGAAAAATGTGCTTGTGCACTTAAACCACAATGAAAACCAACCTGATAGATCTTGCTTGGTTCATTGAAAAGGTTTTGTCATATTCATCCTGTGGTGGATCAGGGAGGGGACCAGCTGCCTTTCCTTTTGAATTTGAATATCGCAAAATGGCAACACCAGTAACTCGTTTCCACTGTGATTCATTCACAAACCTGGCACTTGCTACAATATAGTAATCAGTACTTGCATTCTGATCTGTGGTTAGCAGAAAAGAATACGACTGCCCTACGTGTATGTCTAAGCTAGTGTAGTTCTGCTGCACTGTATACGATCCCTCAGTCTCCGCAAGAAGCAAATTATGGCTCTGAATCCTGAAGTTCAAGGAGGTTGATATTCCCACATTGTGAACTCGAAGGCGGTAAGTTTTCCCTGCCCCAACATTATAACGTAACATTATCCTTACGAGCTAGAAAAACTCACCATAAACATAAAGGTGATAACTAATTCAAGTTAGTTATATGTATGTATGTAGGTATGTATGTATGTATGTATCTAACTGGCAGTCCAACGTACATAAATTTATGGGTCAACACGTCTTTATGCTGTGATCATAAATCTGATGCACACCATAAATTGAAAGGCCAGTGCTACTCCAAAATTCACCACTAATCTCACATGAAGTTAATTCCTGTAATAAGAATAACTGAATATTCCCAACAAAGAAGGTTGCATGCCTAACGCAAAGCTCCACCCTGCAATTAAAGTCCAGTAGATGCAGTACTGGGAAAAATCTAAGATACAACTGCACTATAATAAATAGATGCTAATTACTTCCAAATTCTATCTCCTGAAATTAATTCCATTTCAGTTACTAAAACAACCTGTAATTACACAAGAAGTAGAACTGACATACTTAGAAATGAGTAGCTATCAGCAAACCATGAGTAAACAATGCCTTGCATTGCATGAAATAATCACCTGGGTGGACGTTTATTGTTTCATAATCGATGCCATCAGGTACAAGGGTATCATTATATCGATAAGGGCCTTTGCCATTAATAAGAACTCCATCCGGCATCCCTAGATCTTTTCCAACATCAAGTGCCTTTCTCAAAGCCTAGAAACCAAAAGAAGGTGTCGTCGTTAGACACATTATATCCTATACCCCAAATCCAACCTTAAAAAGGAAAAGAAAACCATATATCCTCCAGTTACTTAACAAAATAAGTACTAACCGTATGGTTGCGTGTGTACCAATCACCTATCAAAATGGTAATATCCCCATCAGGGGTGTCAAAAGGTATAGGAATAATATCTCTATTGTTTATAATAAAGCCGCCAAAACCACCAGCTGCTTTCTGGAAGTGCAGGGATGGGAAGTAGAAGAAACTCCCAATTTGGTCCTTAACCTGGAATTGGTATGTCCAATTCCACTTTGGAGGAATTGGACAATTAGTGCCAGGAAGCCCATCCTGCCATGAACTACGCCTCTGTTGAATCCCAGACCTATCTCAGCAAACAGAAAAACCAAACAGTCAATTAATCTATCCATCTTTATACTTGGATTTTACTAACAAAGATTACTGCAAAAGTAAGATACTACCAGTGGATGAGTAAACTCTCGTCCAATTTGTTTCGAACATTGACGACGACATTGTTGTTGGTGGTTGCATTGATAGTAGGGCCAGGAAACTTGTTATTTATAGCAATAACCTACAAAGTAATGCAGACACAGAAATGATTAACAGACCCAAACAGCTCAACAACATTACTCCAAAGCTCACTTAAATCTCAAACAGTAAGCAAAGTTCAAGTAAAAAGGACCCAAGGAGCTATATCTTTGTAGATCTGAGTTAAAAATTCAAACTTTAAGCAAAGAAAAGACAACCCATCTCTCAGATATGAAAGCTAAGCAGGCCCACGTGAAAAAATGTACTGAAAATACTAGCAAGAGGAAGTAGAAAGCAGCAAAAATGTAAAAGCAGAAGAAAGAGATGTAATAAAAGAGCAGACCTGTTGGGGAACACCCAAAGGAGAAGCAGTAATATAAGAGACCTCCAAATCATAGAAAACAAACGGATCTTCAGCAAAACACAAGCTCAAAAGCAGAGCAATGTGGATAAGAAACAGACCCAAGAACCTACTCAAAGCCATTCTTTAAAAAACAAAAAAGAGGGGGAGGGGAAGAACTCTTTTTGGATTTGTCGTACAAAATTTGCAGAGAGAACTCTTTGTTAAAACTTTCCTGGGCTTTACATTATCTGGTAGGCACAAGAAAGTGAATAAGCAACCAGAGGCTCTAAAGACAGAAACTTTGAGAAAGAGAGCAAATAGAAACGGCTACAAAATTTTTGCTTTATGAGTTGGGTTTTATAAGTCCAAAAAGAGAGAGAGAGAGAGAGAGACAGAGGGCACCTTGGGTTTGCAATGGCAAAGGGTTAATGAGTGAACGATCACTCAAAGGCCAAAGCAATTGATTTGTCGGTCACCGGTCATCGTTCAAAAGAAGAAGAGAGAGAAAATGTGAGAAAAAAATAGAGGGTGACAGCCAGTAGCTAGTTCACAGTTGCATAGAAATGGAAATATGCGTGTGTTTTTTTGAACAAACATGAAACACTGTAGATTTTCATACGCAGTCAAAGCCCACAGGGACAGGGGTTAAGGCAAAGAGGCGTTGTTAAGTTTGACGTGTGGGATGGTCAATGATGGAGTAACGTTCGGATCCTCTTAAAGCGCCACATGATTGCCAGCACATGATCGCGTGTGGACCCCCACCATGTAATCAATAGCCTTTTGTTTGTTAGAAATTGCAGCTACCTTCCTCCCTAATAACCGCTTGTTTTTTCGGTTTGACAGTTGGTTAAAGATAACGTTTTCATTTTACGTTTACTGTAGTTGTAATATTTTAGTTTCATGCATTGTCCGAGTTTATTTTTAAAAGGATTTATAGAAGAAATTTATGTGAATCTCGTTAATCAAACAAGGAACGAGGTTGGTGTTATACTCTATATTAGCCATGCAACATGGTTTTGGGTTTGGTTTATACCAAAATGTGAATGGATGCGGCAAACTGGCAACGATTGGTGCTGCTCAATAACCAATGGCAATGGTGTAGTACAGTTGAACATTTACCTCGAGATGCCAAATACTATGAAAAAAAGTTGCTATGGGCATGGCAGAGACAGTATCCAATGGTATAAGGCCACTGTAATTTTTAAAATTTTTTATTGCGTATAATATATTATAATAATCAACTTTAGTAAAAGTGACTAACCCTGCTAATAAAATTTTCCTTTTTGAGGTGAACGAGACTTTAGCTTAATAGTAAATACAAGTGTCCTAAATTTTGAGGTGCTACTTTCAAGCTTCATTATATATAAGTTTGATTTAATTTTATATTAAATTTATTTAATTATATCTTAATTTTTTGATTGATTATTCTTTAATTTTTTAAATATAATATTTGATTATAATTATAATTTCTGTCGTACTAATAAAAGAATTTATTTTTAGCAAGAAGTAATTGATAATTTAAACGCCTATTAGGTATAATCCTTCTAATTTTTTCATAAACACTTCTATTAATTAACTATTTGCCATAAATAATGTTCATTAGAACTTTGTTTATAATCTCTACAACATTCCTAGATAGAATTCAATAGTTAATTTGCATTTTGTTAATAGGAAAAGAGTTTTTGTTTTTATATCTCATGGCCCATGCAAGGAGCTGACAATAGGACTGCTTGGTTGTTTTCTTGTATCAACATTGGGAGATATTGTCAGGGTTTGGCAAGAAAAGGAAGAAATATCCCATTGGCATGTGTAACTTTTTTTTGTATATTTTCTAAAAAAACAAAAAAATTAATTTTCTTTGTCATGATTTGGGGAAAATTAACCAAAATGTGACATCAATAATGTCATTTTGTTTATGGATATAAGTTGGTGTGAAAGGGAGATGTTAATCCATGCATCTTGAATGGTGTTCGATATATAGCCAATTTCAACTTAATTAATCATTCACTTTAATTTACACATGTTGTAATACTAAAGATTTGTTCATAAAGGGTTATTAGTACTAGAAAATGTTAATAATTAAGATCATGAATGAAAATTTCACTTGAATCAGTTGGATGGAAAATGTTTAGGCCACCTAATAGTACTTGGTCCAAAATCTATTATTATCAACACTAGAATGGATGTAGAGAGACTAATTAAACAATTGAACTCTGATATTAATCGATAATTGAGACTATTTTATAAATTTTAAAATTTAATTTAATTGATTTATATAATTATTATTAAAAAATAATATTTAATAAATTTTAAATTCAAATCTTAATATCTATAAAACTACAACCATTGGACTCTATAATAAAAGAATTTAGCTGATTTTGTGACTAAATCAACGAGTAATGCAAAGATTTGTACTTAATTTTGTCTTTCATATATTCTATAAAGGGCAAACAAATGCTAATAAATTAATCCTGCCTGATATCGATCCTTAACAGAATCTATTACCATTGCATGATTGGATAATCAAATTATCAAAGGTTTTGGTGAGGATCGATGGCATTTGTTTTGATCCATTTGTAATTACACAGAATATATCCAACCACAGCAATTTCGCCAATTGACAAAAACGTGCACGAAAAATTTTAAAATAAAAAATAAAGAAAGGGAGAGGCTAATTAATCACTTGGGTTTCTCCATCAATAATTGAGTTTAACGAGCAAGAAAAAAAAGACTCCAAAGAGGTAGGAAAGTTGGATCCTATCAATATTTAATTCTAAAATCAAAACTAATTCTCAGCTGCCTGTCTGAGCAAACAGCTAGCCCAAATAAAAGCAGTTAATTTTTGAAGAAACGCCACCGTTCTGACGAGTGAAAAAAACCGCACTCATGGCACATGGAAACTTGCTGTTGCACAAATAATAAATAAATTAAATAAATAAACATTTTAAATAAACCACAGTTCAAATTTGTATACCTTTCTCATAACAAGAAAGGATTGAGCCTTTGCTGGCCAGCTCATGCGGTAGGCCCATCTAATTTGGGCCCAAAATTGATTTCTGCGCTTTTAAAAGTAATCCTTTGAAATAATAGGCCCAATCAAGTAAAGCTTTGATCTCATAGGTATATATGCACGAAAGACTCAGGTTGTCTAGAAATTAAGTTATTTTGAGTTAACCGATTGCACAGTTGCTGACAAGAACCATCATAGAAATAGGCTTTTGATAAGATCCAATTAGCAGAGTTAAGCAGAAGTTGGTTCATTTTCTTACAGATACAAAGAACTTTAAGTTCCTGGTTCTTTTTTTTTCCAAGATGAAATCATCTTTCAAATTAATTGAACCGAAGTTGCTGAAAACAATTGCAATTTATAATCTTTATAAAAAAATATATAGGAAACAATGTGCAATTGCACAATCTTCATCAATGTGGCACCTGTAGATGCAGATGACACTTCACTCAGGTTCTCTTTGGAGTTACAAATGTATGTTTGCACATTCCTTTCATTCAACTCTTCTGTAACTAGATCTAATTCATTCCATTTCTCATCGAGGTAATGAGATGACATGATTTGGTTGAAGAGGTACAAGAATTAATGGATGGTGATGTTCGGATTAAGGCATTTCTTTTTGGTCCTTTACGACTTCTTATCATTTGGATATGGCCGAATGAATGCAGAATTCATTTGCCATATCTTAAGGGAGGCAGTAACGCTGGCATCAGTAGCATTGTTGAATAAAAACACTTTAGCAGCTCCATAGATTGCTTTTGTCGGATAAACCCGAGATGTGATGACTGTCCTTCCACCTTGAGCAAAGCTTTCGATTATCGAATGATCCACCTGGAAAATAGTACATTTCATGTTTATTGATTCTCATATTAAGACAATATATTTACTCATTTATACAGCAACAGGAGAAGGAAGCAAGTTAAACTCACCAATATTCTGAGGGATAAGTTTTCGCCTTTCAGTACAGGAATGATGCTCCCATAAATTTGTTTATTAACCTCAGATGCCTCAGATGAACTGAAAGAATAGAATATGCTGAGTCCTAGCTATCTGATAAACTGACTCAAGTTAATAGAGAACAGTTGAGGTTTATACATACCGAGATTGATCATTGCAGAAGAAAGTCTTGAGATTGCCATCAGATCCTTTGGCAATGTGGAAGTATACAGGAGTCTGCTCACTGAGGCTCTCGTCTGCAAGCACCAAAAGACCAAATGGTCCCAATGCCCCACGTTCGGCAGCTCCACCACTGGTACTGCAGCTGAATGTTAAATTGGACCCAGTTGTTTTCTCCAATGCCTCTTTATCTATCTCAAACTTGGCTATGATATCCAACTGTCACATGACCAGGCATCTCCTTATTAGCTAACAGGATCTTGGTCTACAAATTATCATTTGACATACATGTTACAAAAGAAAAAGACAAACCTGTGTGGCTGGACCAATATCTAGAGGAACAACTGATCCTGCCTGAATTGTCACCTGGTTAAATTCGTTGCTATTCAACCTTAAACTGTCTATTTCTTCCACTGGCCATTGAACCAAATGAGTACCAGTCTTCTTGTCAAATAAAATCGTCCTTGGTATGCTCTGTAAGTAAAATAGCACATTAGAACCAAGTTAAAAAGGTTAAAGAAACTGAAGAAATCTGGCACTTAATTCATGTTTATGGTCCAATGAAACAGAAAATTACCTGAACAGATGCCCATCCTTTCTGCTTATCAGCAGCTTCACTATCAGATTCTCCAATCCAACCCCACAACACTCTTCTGTTTTTGTTCTGATCATAGAAAGTTTTGGCAGCATAGTATATTCCATAATCATACCTTATTCCAATGCCAACATCAATTTCATGTTGGTCAGGAATCCATGTACTATTCTTCTCATGATAAGTCCCAACAGCATAGTAGTCATGCCTGTCATCATCCAGGCTTACCTTGACCACATGCTTCACTCCAGGTCCATTAACGGATGTGTCCAAGCCATTTTCTTCTGTTTTTGAAACAGGGAAGAAGTCCACACACTCCCACATGCCAGTGCCAGGCACAGCATGAAGTACCCCATCTAACTGCTCATAGTTTATGAAGTCCTTAGTATCATATACCAAAGCTATGCCGGTTTTATTTATCTTGGACCCTATGGTAATGCGCCACTTCCCTTCAGAGGTCAACCAGGCGGTAGTTGGATCACGGAAATCCTTTTCATCGATGCCTGGGGGTGGAACTAGAACAGGGTTCCCATGGTACTTGACCCAATGGACGAGGAGAGGGTCAGAGTGGTCAGCAGGATAAGCAAGGTTTTGAACCTGAACGGCCTCCGCGGTGGATCCTGTATATAGCATAACAACTTTTCCATCAGGGAGAATTGTGGCAGAACCAGTCCAGACGCCATTTTTATCGTACCACTGGTCAGCAACCATTGCCAATGGGAGGTGTAGCCAATGGATCAAGTCCTTGGATACAGCATGACCCCAAACTATGTCACCCCACACAGCAGCATTAGGGTTGTATTGGTAGAAGAAATGATACCATCCCTTGTAGAACAATGGACCTGTTACGATTAGCAATCAAATTTTATAAATCATAAATTAATATAGTCGTTTAAAATTTTCTGACATTTTTTGTGAAACTGATTGCCATGAAATTATATCAAATCATACATAAAGAGTTAATTTCAAATTCTTTAATAAGAAAGTATCATATAAAAAATAAAAGAAATTCATTTGTTACTTTTTTTTTTTTCGATATTAGCATATATTTCATATATCCCTAACAAATGTATTAAATGAAAAAAATAAATTTCATAGGTGGGCTCCATCTTTTCATCTGAGAATTATTGAGAATATTTTCGAAACTGATTTTGAACTCAAAAACTATCACATCCCAAAGTTTCACTGGTATGATATACAAAATGTTATTCGGTATATTTTGAAGATTATCAAGATATGATTGACGTGATTTTAATATTATTCATAATTTAAAATTATTTTATTAATAATAATTAATTTTTAAATTTTAAAAATAATTATATTTAATATTATAAAAATCAAATATTATTTTAAAATGATCATCCATACAATTCATCACCATAGAAATTTACAGGAAGTTGGAGGCCTTACCATTAGGATCTGAAGCAGAAGGAACCAGATTCCCACGTCAGAGCAACAATGTAAAAGCGCCCAGCCATAAAAAAAAATTTCAATATTTTAGAATATGTAAAACTCAGCATAAGCAATTAAGTTGTAAAATGAAAAAAAAAAAAAAATCTAGTGACTCCCCATTTTTCTTCTTTATGTTTGCAAAAACACTCTATATGCTACTGCAATTTCATGAATTGTTGTATACTAATTGATGACACCGTATAATATTTGATCTCCTTTCACAGATACTAGTATGAAATACGTATTTCCTTTTCTTTCCACTTCTTTTCTGTTTTCTTATCAATGATAATACTATTTGAATTGTAGTGCAAAGAATTTCTATACTTTTTATTTACTAATATTCAAAAAAAGTTGGGGTACTTTTAGAACAGTGAATTAGATAAAAGGGAAAAAGGGAACTTTTTTCCCTACCATTCATCCAATTCTTTTCAGGTTGAAAGTGAAAAGCTGTTCTTTGCCATGACAACATGCTATTGTTCCATGGTAAATTCCCGTCAACGTTGGCAAAAGGCCTGTTCGATTTCTCCGAAACTCCAGCAGCAGGGCCACGTGACACCGGCCGCAAAGATTCAGGTTTCTTGGAGGTCGATGAAGCCAATGAGCCATGTTCGTTTTCATTTACATGAGCATTATCTGACCCATTGTTTCCTATCAACAATGCCGCAAACAAGCCAACCGCTAACAACCCAACAAAGATTGTGAGCAGCTGTTTGATGAGTTTCCGGCGATTTACCTGAGTCCCTGTTGGATTGAACCCATCAGAGCTGGAAACTGGGAGGAAGGGATTTCTATCCGCCATTGTTTTGTAGTCTGGACAAAACGTATAAAGCCAAAAAAAGAGAGAAACTAACGGCCTAATGATTTAAGAGAAAGAGGCTTAGGTTCTCATTGTAGTATATAGGCAGTGCTTTACTTGGCAAATAAGTTGGGTGGTTTCCCTGATTGGCTCCGACCAGGACAATCTGATTTGTGAGATCATCATGTTATCCATGCAATGGTTGTCGACAATACAGAAGTTGGACAAGTCTCATGTATTTTGTTTTAGAGGGTAATGACTTGGCTTTATGCTAATAATTGCGTATTTGCATTTGTGGATGTGTATCAATAATGTAGAAAATCAATGATTTTAATTTGTTGACTTAATTAATTTATGAGTTAATGCAATGTTACTGGGGGTAATAGTGACAGCAAGGCTAATTAAACATTGAAGGGGAGAAAATTATTATTAATTAGTTGTTCGTCAATGGATATCATATGATATTAAAATTGATATTTAAAAATTACAAATTTTAAAAAATTTATACATATAATATTTTTTTAAATCAAATAATAAATATAAAGATAAAAAATTTTCAAAAAATTACTAATTAGTTGGGATAAATCAAGTTTATTCCTCAGTAATTTGTTATCTAATAAACTTTGTAGAAATATCTAATGACATGTTGGATAAATCCTAATAGTATTATTAATTTTTTAAGAAAATTTTAACTTTCATTAAAATTAAAGAGGATTTCAATCAGCCATGACAATAGAATAAATGCTAGCTGGGCATTCTTCTGTCCAGTACATATCTTGAAGTAAATTAAGAGCAGATTGGGCAACAATGAAAACTCACATATCCATTTATATTTTGTATTGTTAACTCTTTAGACTCTGAATTACCCTTCATTACAAAAACATGTCAAACAACTGTTTAAATTTGATAAAAAGAAAATTTCAAATTCAAATAAAAAGATTAGGGTTATAATTAAAAAAGGGAATTGAGATCACTACATTCTATTTTTAAATCCAATAATTTTTTGTTTTATATACAAAATATATATATTTTTGAATTAAAGAATGGATAGTTAAGACTTTGAACTGATAATTCAAAATTATCAATCAGTACATACATCTTTAACAAAGAATTTTATTAGATATATCATTGATAATTTAATTTACACCCAAGATTACCTCCAAATGATCAATCATTACCTATCACCTTCAACAATTTTGTTAGAATTCTCTTTTTGGGTCTTGAATTTGGGGTTTTTGAAGAAAGGGAAATTAAGGACTGTTGTAGCAAAATAAAAAATTATCAAAGAATGAAACAGGATGAGTAAAAAAACATGTTTTTGATCTAACGGTTTACAAAAGGTTTAAAACTGAATTTTACATTGATAAAAATGATTTTTTTTAAAAATTCATTAATATTAATTAATAACACAGTCTTTCTTTTCATTCAAGTTGTTTTTAAATTAAAAAATATATGAAATTTACTAATTAATCTGATAATTTTTTTGGCCAAATATTAAATTGATAATCGACTTCCCACAATTGTAATGATGGGTCAGCGATAGAGACAAGGACTCCGCCAAAACAAAAGAAGGATCTCGAAATGAAAGACATGATTGTGAATGTTTTGAAAAAGAATTTTCTAGATTGGTTATGAATTTAATTAGTTTAATTTGGTCCGGCGATTATTCACTTAATTAATCTAGAACTAATGACTAAGTGTTGACTAGATTCGAAAACAGATGGTTTGTCCACAGCCACCAGTTTGTTTAATAATTAACAACAAAAATGAAACGCGGCAATTGCCAACACAAATAGATGTGGCACAATTGATCTCTCTCACATAAATTATTGGAGCAGGCGGCCGTTCCTGGCCACATGCAAAAATAATTGACTATTTTTTTTCCTATGGCTAATTTTGAGGGTTCGGTCGTGATTGGTGTTCTTCCCATTTACTTGTCATAGTTTTTCTTTAGGTAAAAACAAAGCAAAACAATACAAAACCTCAACAAAAAACAAACAGCCTGACCCCAGATCGCACGTTCCTGTTATTGCCGGTCCTGCTTGTTTCCACATGCATGATTCACATGCACTTTTTTGCCTCCGAGGAAATACAGAAGGATTGTTTCTCTTTCTCTCTTTTTTTTTTTTAATTTATTGAAAATTTCAGATCACTAATTTGTCGTAAATGTGGGCCAATGGATGGGATTGGTGGCAATCCGTCAGCTTCTAGTTCTTTTTTTTTTTTTTTATTTTGAGCCAAGTCTCCTCCTCCTTATAATACAAGAGCTTTCCCCCCTTGAAACCAAGAAAAGAAAATTATAATTAATTATTGAAATGGAGCATGGTTGATGGAGGTGGAGAGAGTTAGGATTTTGCCTAAGAGGATTACACGTACCATGATTGGTGCAGGGGAAATAAAGTTCGTAGCTTTGTTTGAAACGAATTGCTAGGATGACATTACCCTGATTCTGACCCGATCAAATTATTGAGGTAAACGTGTTAAATTTTGGTTAAGATACCAAAGCTTTTCAATAAAGATTTAAATATAAGAAAATTTATATTTCAAGAAACACATGTCCGATCAAAATGTTGTATTAAATAATGACGACTCGTCAATATATATATATATTTATTTAAATTATATTATATTATTATATTATTAAAAAATTAAAATTTTATTATATATCACATATGATAATTAAATAATAAAACGTTAATAATATATTTCTTCTATTTAAATCATAATTATATTATTAGAAAAATCAACCATTTGTTATATATTATTTATGATAATTCAATGATAAATATTTATTTTAATAGATTTATTAATTATTTTATAATAAATAAATTATTTAAATAAAGAAAATATTGATATAACGTAATTGTTTCATATTATTTTTTTCCTATATATCTACTTCTATACATTAAGCTTGAACCTTGACATTTAAAAATTTTAAAATTTAAATTCTAACATCTACCGCCTCTTTTCTTATCTTTATACTGCAGTCTCGTATATAAAAAAAAACACAAACCGAAAATTGTACCTAACCCTCTAATAATAGGGAACGTTGCGCTTGTTTCCATTGGCTTGGAGCTTTAAATGTGGGCTCTGGTAAGCTTAGGTAAGGACTTAGGATGAATAAAGTAGGTTGGCAAATGGAACCAACTTTATAGCTATCTATATAGACTAAAGCAGAACTCAAATACTCTAGGTTTCTCATAACGAAACAACAATAGCATAAATATGACAGTAATGCAAAGAGGAAGGCTTTGCCATGGAATCGAATGCAATTTTTGAAGGTAGGCAAAAGGGTTATCACATGCAATGGCAGAGGAACAACAACATCAGCATCGTGTTCATTAATAACAGAAAGATGGAGGATTGACATCAAGCTTTAAAGACTAGCAGAAAAAAAAAAAAAACAAAAAAACAAAACAAAAACAAAACAAAGTGTTGCTAACAACATAGTGGAGTCGGTATCACCATCTCATTCTATGCCATATGAGATTTGCTTCAAAATGGAAAAAGCCACTTTAGACATTTGGAGGTGGCCAAATCTTGTCAAATAATTCCTCAACTCGCTTTGCTTGATTAACATATCCATCCAGTCCAGCAGCCAGAAGCTCCACCGATGCAGGTCCCATAGCTGATGAAAGGCTTAATTGGTCCCACTTTGTGAGCTGAGCATAGAGACAAATATCAGTCAACAAACACTTCATGGCTTTTATAAGCAAAAACGCCTTATTATGTATGCATGCTTATGCTCGTTAGTTGCCCATAGGAAGGATGAAGACAAACGATAATATTTCTCAATGAAATGAAATGTTAAAGTGAGCATAATCCAGATGGCTTCAAGGTAGTAGACGTAAAGGAGGTCCGTGGTTTAATTCATAACCAAATTGCAGTAAATAGTGGTGGAGGAGCAAAATTTGATGTGGTTGTAGTTGCCACAGTCCCATCAATGGCTGTGAATATGGTGAAAAAATCAAGGCAAGAAAAGAATATGTTTAATATTGTAAGACAATGGATACAATTTCTGCGTAAAATCACTAAGTCCATATCGAATGCATTTTGTCAGTATTATGTGCAGTGAGTTTTGGTGTTCTTTTCACCTGCTTTTTCTTAGTTTACAATTGAAAATATGGAAAGAAAGCATACCTCTTCAGCAGTGAAATTGTAGCTGGAAGCAGACTGAGGGGATAGCCTCCTAACATAAGAGTACTTCTCATCAGGAGCAGTAATTGATTCTTTGAGTGACTGCAATACCTTCAAGGGTGCAATGATATAGTCAACCCTGAAAAATGTAAACCAAACCGCAGGTTTAAGGGGAAAAATGATCAATATTTGATTCTTAATTTGTAATTATTTCTAATTAGATTGATAATAGTTGAGTCATATGATACCCCAGCAAACTGAATAAATCCTGCTTGTTTCTAACTGCTGCTGCCATAAGCTTTGATTTATGTCCATATTTGTGAATGTAGTTATAAGCTTTTTTCACCTGCAGTGACAAATGACAGTACATTGAGTTCAAACCTTTTTGTGTTATTACAAACAAATTAAATATAATAATATCTACTAAATAAAGATCATAATATTGGAGACATGTTCTTTCATAGATTGCAAATTATCAATAACAAGTAGCCCTAGAACTATTAAAAGGGAGACAAGAAAAAGAAAAGGTAAGTGCAATAATGACACCTTGGCATTATTCCTAAGTCATTCAAAATTTGTGCAATTCCAAGATTCTCTGCAACCTAGACTTAAAAGAGAATGAGAGATGCTCAACATTCACAAGCAACAGAGAGACTTCAATGCACTTCAGAAATCATTAGAACCAACATGGCTACTCACAAAAACAATTGCTTACGTCAATAATACTCAAGCTAAGTCTAAACTCCAAAACCAAAAGTTGTTTAACTAACCAGGGCCAACCCAGGATCCTCTCCTCTTTGAATAGCAGCTTCAATCTCAGGGTCACCAGAATGATTGCGTGCCCAATCCTGAAGAAGGAAAAAATATGTTTTAAGGATAACAAAAGATCAAAGCTAACGAAGAAAGTCACCAAAATAGGTTTTTGAAAAAAAAATTTACCCTAACACGTCCAACAAAAATCTGAATAACAGAAGCACCAGCTTGGGCTGCAGCTGCAGTTTGAGCAAAGCTGAAGAAACATGCAAGAACAAGCAAAGATTAGAAACAATAATGATGAAAGAAAAGTCTCCAATGGGAGGTTATTCTTTCGCTTAAAATAGAGTATGTACAGAAATTTCCTTAATAATCAAGCAACATCATTGTCTACACAATCACATACCTATAAACGAAAGTCAAATGTGTTTGTATACCCTCAGATTCAAGCAATCTTGAGGCATCTATTCCCTGTATAACCAATAAACAATACCCAGAACCATTTAGCTTTTACGTTCCAAGACTATTAAGGCTAATAACTTTACAAGTGTGTACACAAGCATTTCATCGAGGTACTCACTTGCCAAGTTGAAGGAATTTTAAACAATAAACGCTCAGGAGGAATATCAATCTCATTATACAACTTCAGTAAGTCATGCACCTGCATATTTCAATAAGGTTTAGCATCAGGCAACATATCAGAATCAAAATACAGGGAATAAGCTCCTAAAACATATAAAAGGAAAACAGTATGTTTAACACTGTCAAACTGCAAAGGTTTAAAGGCTTTATTCATCTTATATCCAGAGACGGATGTAAATGGATTGGTGGGGTGTCACCAAAATTAGAAAACAAGGAAATTTAAAGGAGAATTTTCTGTTGGACACCCCCAAAATTTTCTTCTGGACACCCCTAAAAATAGGAAAACAAGAAAATTTAAAGGAAAATTTCTCCTGAACACCATCAAAATTTTCTTCTGAATACCCTTTACATTGATAAAATTAATAAATCCGTCAAGAGTGTTTTATTTATATTGTAAATGACCTTCGAAAAAAAATTCTGGATCCGCCACTGCTTATATCATATATAATTATGTTTTAATGAGTAGCATAGAAATCCATATAACCCCCATACTTCTCAAAATATAATGATGTATAACAAATATTCAGTCTTTCACTACATTTCCAAGAGACAAGAGATGAACCTAAAGTCAACATAAGACAAGCAACACTTGAGGGACAATGAATGAAAAGTTTGTTTCATCAATGTGTCTATTCAATTTAAGTTTTCAACATTGATGCTTATGCATAAGACCCTACACAATTTTCAACAATTAAAATTAGCAATGATGGAGATATTGAACAACAATCATACGGTAAAATTAAAAAAATAAGCAAGCAACACAATGGACACGAGAAAAGTCAATACCCTCCTAATAATTCCATGTGTGTCATAAGCCAGACGTGCATCCACCTCTGTTGAAACTCGACCAGGAACTAGCTTTGCTAAGTCACCACCGACATTTACTAAAGCCTATACTTGATGAACAACCAAATATCAAACAAGTTAATGATCCAATTATAGTCTCTTTTACTTTCTTTGTCAATGCAAATGAATACTATATAGACAGCAAAAAGCTGAAAATCTCATGCATTCTTACTGAACATTTCAGAGTATAAGAATACGAACCTTGTTAACGAAACAGGACAATCTCAGTTCAGGATTGTCCAGACCAGAGCAACTTGAATCCGCCAAAGCCATATCCACAGCATTCTAAACCCAAAAAGAAAAAAAATTTACCAGTAAATATGTATATATATATAAAGATTTTTAGCTCTCCATATATTCAATTTAGATAAAATTTAGGGATTTAAATTGCAATTGCGTTCATGTTGTCATCGCATAGCATTTATTGCGGTTATGGACATAATGGATAAGATAGCAGTTATTGCGCTTATCACTGTCCTGAATTTTGTTAATTTTCGCACAACTCTCCAAAAGTTAAGTAAATAATAATTTTATCCATGAAAACTCGTATTTTATGTTGTCTAAAATAATTCATGACATTTTAATTCCTTTACTTATATGATAAACTAAATTATTATTTTTTATAATATAACTCAACCAACAATATGCATATTTAAAAGTGTTCAATATGCATATCCATAAATTTTATGAATATTACTACTATAAGTACATAAGATTAACAAAATATTATCATATGTGAAACTAAGCTTTTTTTTTTTTTCAAGTATATGAAATTAAGCTCATTAATTTTAACTTGACTAGAAAAATAATAGCTGAAAGTTTTAATATATTACTTAACAAGATACTCGTCAATCTAACTTAAATCAAACACCAAAAATATAAAAACAATAAAAATAACATAAGTAATACTAAATTTTAATCTTTTAAGGTTATCTTTTTAAATGATACTAATACATATACTAAACACTTATGAAAATAAAATTCACTATTCATCATGTCTGGTTTCCTCTCAAATCATCCAAAAAATTTTCTCAAATTTCTACTTTCCACAAATCATTTGTCTTTCCCTCCCAACTTTCCCCCATTCTCCCAAATTTCCTTTCTTAAACTCCTAAAAAATTAATTAACGACTCAATTACCTCTTAAATTTTTATTTAAATTATAAAAATTATTAAAATACCAACTTTCACCAACCAAACACTAAAAAGGCAAAACCACTTTTGAATTTTGTGACACAAACCTTCTATATTCCCTATCCCTTCTCTGTTTTTCCCCTGGCTATTTCCACTTTTCTTCCCTATCTCACAACCATCCTCATGCTTCTCTTAGATCCTCAAAATCTCCTAAGATTTTCAACTATAAAGTCTCATCTATCTATCTCTCTCAAAAGTAAAGATTGGAGATGGCAACACATCCTATAGCCAACACTCATGGAAGCCATAAGAGAGCTCTCTCTCTCTCTCATCACCCTCTGCTATTCAAATGTTTAAAGATGTGAAAAAAGGTTAATTTTTAGTGAACATTTGTTTATTACCTTGAATCGATTTTCTTTAGTTTGATTAAGACTTAAATCTGTTCAATTTTGATTGAATTGATTGGATTTTGAATGGCTTTTTCTTTGTTTTGGTATGGAGCTGTCGTTTGATTTGGTGAAAGCAAAAATGGCAATAGAGGCTTTAGCATCCCGTTACAACCATTATTTTCCTATGTGAATCACAGTTCACACTTCCATAGTAAATAACCGTCACGGAGGACGCCACTACCTCTAAATAGCGGCCGCTATTCCACAACAGGGCACTATTTGAAACCAATAATGGAAATGCTTACTCTAAAAATGGTATCTGGAAGGCTCAATATACCCAACAGCAGTGAAGAGCTAACAGTTGCAGCAGTTGGTGGAAACCTATAAATTTCAATGAATTAGCATAAAAAACTCGGCATTTTGAGTAAAACTTTCATAAAAAAAAAAAAAAAACCAAGAAAAATACAACAATTACTTTTCAAAATCATCAAAGATCACAGTGTCAGGAACTATCTCACTGAAAGTAGACACAGCATCCAATTCAGTACTCAACCCTGAATTTTCCCAAAAAAAAAAAACCCATCAATTAAAAACCAAAGAAACAACTAAAAAACTACATATTTAACCAAAATATCTAAAAGGAAAAGAGAGGCAAATACCAGTGTCAACAGAAGAAGAGAAGCCCGAGGAGGCATGAACAACTGGAAAAGATGCGTTGAACTTAAAGAGTAAATTCGAAGAAGAAGAAAAACCATTTGCAAATCTCAATCTTGATTTGGGTAAAGAAGAAGAGAAAAATGAAGAAGGCGGAGATTGCAAGGAGATTGACATTTTTTTTCTTTTCGTTTTTTGAAGTAACGGGAAGTATCTTCTTTTTCGTTCTTATATATCGGGGGAAATATCTGAACACGTGTAAGTTCGTTTTTGGGTAGTTTTAGTAGCTTTACTAGAATGTATTATAGATTTTTGCAACGGATGGTCCCTGTTTGAATTGTCGACGGTTGATTGGTTAGTGCCTATTTCGTCCAGGAGATTTAAGTTATATTAGATATATAAGATTATATTAGAATAAGATAAAATGATATTATAAATATAATTAGAATAATAATATTATTTTATTTTGTATTTGATATATATAATTATTAGGATATAATAATTTATTTATTTATTAAAATTATTTTTTTTAAGTTTATATAATTTAAATTATTGATATAATTTTTAAAAATATAATTGAATATATAAATTTAATTTTATAAATTAAAAATAAATTTTTTATTTGAGGAGGATTAAATAATTTGATGTTAAAATAATATTAATTATTCTTGTAATCTTTAATTATTTTTTAAATATAAATTAAATATAATATAAAATAATTATTATTTTATTTTATCAATAATTTTATGCATAAGATATATAATTTTAATAAATTTATTAGGATTTCACTTTATTTTATTTTTGTCGTACTACTAATAACTTTTTCTTGGTTAATACTACTAAAACTATGCTGCCTTCAGAATGATAATCATATCAAAGGGTTATTTTATATTTTTGTGTACGGGGCTTGAATCAATGATGGCAAGTGGCAACATCTCTTATTGGATGCTCCGCCATGCTTCGTCTTCTATTAATCAACTAGGAAAACCAGTGCTTTGAACAAACCCTATACCTTTCTTTTGGTTTTTCCTTTGAATATCTTCTTTTTTGTGCATTATTTTTTACCTCAAGGCTCAAATTAAAAGATTATTATACCAACAGAATGATTGTGTTGAAAGTAATGTTTTCCTTTTTCTAATTTTACTCTAGTTTTTAATAATCAGGTGATCTGACAATCATATAATTTATTAATTCCAATGAATCATAAACTTGATCCAATTAAACAGCCAATGATCTTTTATCCTTGTTAACAATGGATTCAGCTTCGGATCAACGCTTTAACTTAGTGCAGTTGAGAATTGGGGTAAGCTGAATGATAGAATTGCTCTACATTGCTTGTAGACTTGTTGTAAGGACGTTTTGAAAGAAAAAGAAAAAAGGAAAGCAAACTGGAAAAGGCCAGTGAAAAATAGCTTTACAAGGAAATATATTTTATATAAATAAATGTTATCAGTTAACATTTGCAAAATTCTGACAAAAGAATATTGGAAATAACATGGCCACTGCAATGGAATGACTGGATTCATTGGGGATATCTTAATAAGCAATTTATTTTCATATAACTATATGCTCCTCTTCAATGAAAATTTATTTTGCTCCTGCTGCTTTCTTCAAGCTTCAAACTTCTTCCATCTCACCAATGCCTTGAGAAATTTCTTCACCTGCGCCATAATTTCCATATTTTACTGTGGTCTGACTATGAAGAGATGGTATTATATCTTCGTTTTGCAACCAAAAAAAAAAAAAATTAAGGACAATTCTTGAGCAGGATTTTCTACCTCTGATGGGTCCCTGAGAGAGTATAATGCCTTGCTATCTTTGGGGACTGAAGACACTAAGATCCCATAACCCCTATTTCCTTCCCTTAAAACCTGATTAAGATTTAGTATTAGAATCTGATGCAAATTCTCTAAATGGCTCATACAATAAAAAACTGCAAGTTGAGCGCTTTGCTTACCTTGAATGCATCCTCATCAGTCTTGTCATCTCCAATATAGATTGGGAGCACATCATCTCTATCACTTAGTCCTGCGTAAATTTACATAAATTACACTGATAAGTGAAAGCTTATCATATTACAGGAATACAGGTGACCAAAAATAGAGAACTACCAAGGGATTCAAGCAGAAATTCAACTGCCTCCCCTTTATTCCAGTCAATCACAGGACGGATGTCTAAAACCTGAAGAACAAGGAAAACAAGCTTATTAGGGGGAGAAATGGTAGGTAGTATTATGATAAAATTAACACAAATATCAATGAATTTTCAAGAAAAATGGAGAATAACACATATCAAACAAATAAAGATATAGTTTCAAAGCTGGCAAAAAGGACATACCTTCCGCCCATGAGTTAATCGCAAACGAGGATAGTCTTTCAAAATATCATGAACACATTGTGCGATAGTTGGCCAGTTCTGAATCGGGAAACAAAATGCACTTAGATGTTGGAACGAGTTAGTCAGATTGAATGCTTATTAAGAAAGTATGGCACCTACTGTCTCTCACCTTCTCTTCTACATTACGGTAATGTACAGTGGCACAAAACTTGTGATTCTCAACTTTTGCACCTTTAATATCTTTAGTATTCTCGACAAGGGTTTTAAAAACCTGCAAGATAAATGAAGCACGTTTATTATTCTATATTAAAACATGATCCCGAAAAGTGATGAATGGAGGACGTGCTAAACATAACATTTATACACCTCATCGATCATAGTTATGAATTCTCTAGCGGGCTGGAAAATGTTTACCTCCTTGCCCTGTCATACAAGTAAGGAAAATCATTAACATGAAATTGAGAGTGATATTATATTTTTAATAGCCTATTTGACGTCCTCTTTGTGGAGACAATAAATTAGAGGAGATCTTCGAAACGTTACGACTCTTACCTGTTGGTCAGTTGATCTAATACAATTTGGATGGTCATCAGACTCTGTAGGACTCACAGGGCCCATAATGTCCATCCCATGACAACCAGCATAATAAAGTTCAGTTAGTCCTACCAATTCATAAACCTGAAGTAAAAAAAATGCAGTAAATCAGATCCTATTGATGCCCAGATGATAACTACCAGGGAGAAATTGGTGGATAAAATGCAACAAAGATCCTGAATGTTCTACCATCTACCTTATCACGACTTCTGCCACTAATAATTGCTGTTGGGAAATACTTTGCAACATTTCTGACAGCAGAACGCATCTGAAAGAAAAGTAAGACTATTTTCAATTTTTGTTTCTTATAAATTTTAATCAAAGGAAAATTAAAACAACCAAGGAATTAATATCATATACATGCACTGAGATGGATTGTCATACTTACAGCATCAGACATAAAGGCACGATCTGGATCATCTACTATAGGAGAAAGAGTACCATCATAATCTAGAAAAACAGCTATCTTCTTGTTCTTGGCATTTTTGGAAATTTGCTTGAAAGATTTAAGTGCAGATGGATATTTAATCTGAGTATCGGAAGAGAAGCAGAGCATAAGTACAGGCAAGGTTATCTAGGGAACTAAGGGAAGTGTATATGTCGTATGTGTTTATCAACAATTAAATATATGCATACCATCCAGGAGTAATAAATATCGGTGTCATCTGCAGCAACCTCAATATTGAAGTCCTTGATTAACTTCTTACGAGGGGGTGATGAAGATTTCATTGCATCCAGCCAACCATTGGAACGAACATCATCTAGCTTTCCAGGTTTCTTTCTGGGAATTGTCATATACTTTCCAGAGGTCAAAGATCCACCCGATTGAGGATAGGACAACAGATTGGAGTGGATACCTAATCTTGACTTGTTTATTGGAATAGGATCAGTGAGGACGGGAGATGAATGATTGGACTTCGACTCCATTAACTTCAGATCACTTTTAAGTACACTTAAAACAGGTTAAACTAGACCTTAGATAATAGCAGCAACTTTGTCAAGTACAGTTATGAACCTTCAGTCCTTAAATCTTTTTACCCAACCCTTTTGTCTATGAAAAACCACCTCTTCAACGTTTTCTTATCACTGCTGGTGGGGGAGCAGTCCATCAATCGCAGGCTTCCTGAAAACTGATGATCACAGCGAAGTATAAATCTAAAATACAATGAAACAAAGCAAGATGTAGATTTAAGATTCGAAGATTTTTCTTCAGTTGAATACATATAATAGACATACCTTCTCATCTCCAAAGCTACACAACATTTATGGCAGGTAACAGAACATTATTTGTGCATGAATCTCAAGAGGATAGGAGTATGGATTCAAATTTTGATCAGAATGAGCTTAATCTGCATGTAGTACAGTAGAAAGAGGCATTATAATTCAGATGTAAATAGCGATTCAAAGAGGAGAAATGACCTTAAGAACATTGCTTTCTGGACATAAAACAAAAATTTAACTTCACCAATGTGACAAATAATTTACATGCCAAAGAACAATAAGGAATTCGTTTGGTCCAGGTCTTCAACCATCACTAATCTTTGGGAAAATGCAAGTATTCTTGAATAATTAATACTTTAAGGTGGCATTTTAAGGAGTGCACTAACAGAATTAAAATTAAAGGAACAAGAGTACAGCTCTATCTGATCTGGCTTCTATGACTACCAGGTGACAAAACAGTTTTGCAACTTTTTAACAAGTCATAAAAGGAAATAGGCAACAGTAAAAGCACAAACGTAAATCATTTTAGAAAAGCACATACACACATATGTGCAGCAACATTCAAGAACGCATATCCACCATGTACTTTTTTCCTTATTTTGCTGAGGTATGTGAATAACAAAGGGGAAAAAAAAAGGCAACTGCAAAAACATTTAGTTAAATAAATTGGGAAGCAAAAACCAACTAAGTCCGAAGGAATTCCTGATTAACATTGGATGTCTAATTATAGAAACTCTCATGTGCCAGAACAATAGATAACTTCTGTAAACTTTGCTTTCAAAGTTTTAACAGAAAGTTTTAACAGATTGACCAACAATAGAAAGAAATTCTAGTAATTTGTTAACAAAAAATTATTGTCAAAAAGTCAAAATATTTATCACAGAAACTAATAATAGAGGCCAGAAAAATTTTTTATACTTTCAAAAATCATGATAACATACAAATATTAAGCGAAAATCATAGCCATACATTGGAAATTAAAAAAATACCACTCAAAATTATAAAAATGCTAAAACATACACTTCATTTAATCCTTTTCATCAATACAGAAACATAAATTAAAATGACAAATACATAATTGTAGGACTCACCACTATGTATCCAACTACGACATGCGTATCACATACATTTAAAAAAGCTTTGTATTTACCTAATGAGCTCATATATATACACGTATATTGTACCTAAATGGGCCATTGATAGAGAACGGATGTGATTAAATTGCGGATCTAAATATATACATCAACATCAAAGTTTAATAAATAAAAATGAAAAAAGAAAAACTACTAAAACGATTAACTTCCTTGCAATGACAAGAGACTGCAACTACCAAAACGACATTACCTTAACTTTAAACCCCCTCCATAAAAAATAATAAATAAAATAAAATTGAAAAAGACGTAAGAGCTAGCATATGTGAACATTATTCATGAAACATGAAAAAGTCAAATACAAATGAATGCTCTGGGCATAATCTCAAGGAATAATAGCTATTACTAGGCAAAAACACATTAACAGGTCATCAGCAATATGTTTTTCTAGTTAAGGCTAAAAATCAAAGGAAAGAGATTAAGACACGTTTCAAAATTTTCAATAACTCTTCCTAGTTATTTATAGGTAGCAACCGACAAAATAGACACCGTATATACTATATCAAATAAAATAAACAAATGAAATGAGCCATCAAAATCATTTTCTTCTCTTACATGCAGCCCCACAACAAGAAAGATCTTATTCACCATTTAAAAAACAAAAATAATAACAAAGAACAGAAAAGAAACCCCACAAATGTATTCATTAGAAAAACCAAGTTAAAAGCTGAAGACAAATGACTTTCTATGTAAAAATAAAACAGACCCCGAATCAAAAATCAGAAGTAAAATAACCCAGAATAAAAAATCTGGGTTTATGTATATTAAGTTCATATAACTTGCATGTCTCTCCAGAAAGAGTTAAAAACCTTAATGGACGTTGACATAGAGATCTTAAACCTTAAAGTATCAAAAGAAAAATAACCCAACAACAAATAGAGACATGTTTTTTAGCAGCAGTTGCATATATTAACCAAAAAAAAAAAAAACGAAGAAAATAAATCTTAACGTAACAGACCTGATTGAAGAGATGAAATCCAGACAAAAACTGATCTCTACAATGCAGTTCTTACGGGATTCGACAAAAGAAATCCCAAACACAACGAAATAAAGAGAAGATGTTGGTCGAGATACCAAAGAAATAGCGAGAACGAGAGAGGAAAAGAGAAAACGAAACCCTAAAGATCGTCGAGAGAGAAAAGCTGTAAAATATAAGGGAAAAAAGGAGAAAGAAGAATAGTAAAAAAAAAAAAAGAAAGGAAGAAGGAGAAATGGGAGGCCAAATTGTTGCATATTTATAGAGTTTTGATGAGCAAGGATTTTCTTCCAAGACGTGTTTATCAAAGGCTGGTGTTGTTTTTTCAGGAAACACGCAGGTAATTTACGATTTTCTCCTTCTCTTTTTTCTTAAATTTTTTATTATGGAATTATTAGTATTTTCAGAAATTGTGGCTGGTTTCACCTAGGGAGGTGTTTTGGAACTGACACGTGTAGGTAGTGGTGTCGTAAGCAGGGTTATGGCAATGTCATCTGCATGAGTATCCATCTGACGTGGCCACCAGTCAGTTTGGGCCCACGTCCATCGCTCTCTTGCATAGCTGGCAGTCATCGGTGACCATAATTGTTTTTTATTTTTGAAAAAAAAGAAAAATTATTTTCTTTGGTATCACGTCAAAAAAAGAGATAAAAAAAAAAAAAAGAAGCAGTTTTTGCTTTGTCGCACAAATCTCGTGTGATGATTCACATGGCTTAGCCATTTAAGCTGTCAAAGCGCCTTTTGTTGTTCAACAGCGAGGAAAATAACCAAAAAAAAGTAGAAAATGAAAAAAAAAAATTCACTATTTAATTATCACATATTATGTGTAATAAATGATTAATATGTTTTTCTATCTAAATCAACTATTTATTATATTTATAAATATATTAAATAAATATTCACTATTTAATTATCACATATCATGTGTAATAAATGATTAATTTTTTTAAACAATATGATTACATGATATAATTTAAATAAAATATATTTTTTTATAAACATTTTTCTTGCGATCACCGCAGAGTTTCTACTATATTCAGAAAGCAATGTTTAAAAGACTTTAGTGTGCTTGATGGGATAGGACCTAGTATTTGAAAATAATTAAAGCAACTTTCTTAGGACTTAAGAGATTGCCACATTGAGGTCTAGTCATGAAAATTTTCGGTAAGATCTTCATACTAAATTAAGCAAATCAATGCCCTTATTTATTTATTTTTTGGTGGGGGTGGGTAACTAATTAAACAAGTAAATTATTGTATATACCTTATAAATGTCTCGTATTTTGATAGCTATATACGTATATTGTAATAATATACGGCAAATTTAGATTATGAAGGGCAACTTGCAACTTTTATAAGCAATATGATATATTTAAAAACAGAGTAAAATTGGATTTGGTACAACTTATTGGAACTAATATTTATTGTCACGTACTTTTCATGTGAATACTTATTTCTTTCATATTTATTTAAATAATAATGTATATTGAATATAAAGTTGTATATTGTAAATATTTAAAATTAATAAAATGCATATTAGCAGATAAAGTTTGTCTTGCATATAAAATAAATGAGAGTAAGATAAAGTTTATTAATTTTATCATTAATGTAAAATTAAAAATCTAAAAATAAAAAAATTAAATAATAATTATATATATTGAATATATAGTTGTATATTTTACAAATATTTTAAATTAATAAAATGGATGTCAACATGTAAAATTTGTTCCATGTACATTAATATATCATATTTTAATTAACATAAAGTTTACTACTTTTAATATTAATGTAAAATTAAAACTTTGGGGGAAAAATTCAAATGTTAATTTTAACTATTTTTATTTATCAAATAAATTTATTTAATGAAAGTTTTTCAAAGGTAGTAAATTTCTTATTTATAAACTATATTATAACCCGTGCGATGTACGAAATAATTTTTTTATTTAATATAAATATATATAAATTAATTTTTTAAATTATATTCAAAATTTTAAAACTCATAACATATATAAAATTTATATATATTGACTTATTATTAAAAAATAAATTTTATGAAAACAACAAAAAAAAATATGTCTTTCCTTTAGATAATTTTGTTTGCAATAATATTTATACATTTGTAAAATTATATCAAATAAAAATAAATTATGTCTTTTTTAAAAAATAAAAATATATATTATTGAATGATAAATAAAATAAGTATTAACACATTTTCATTTTAGTAATATTGACTAAATTATTATACAAAATATGCAAAAATGTTAGAAAATATGTGAAAAAGATAAATTGAAAAAACTATTTTTCATAAGGATCAAACTGTAATAACAATAAAATATATCTTAGAAAAAATTTATAAACAAAAAAAATTTGCAATAGTAATAGAATATACCTTATAAAAAAGTTACTGAAAAAATAAAAAAATTAATGTATAATATATTACATTTGTAATCTTAAATTTATAGAATAATCATTTAGTGAAATTAAGATTAAATAGATTATTTTTAAATTAATTTTTTAAAATTTAAAATGGATATAATAAGTGATAAAGATAATATTAAATTTGTTGCATTTATTTTAAATATAAAAGTGATAATTAGAGTTCAAATAAATATAATCATTTTGATAATCTTATTATTTAAAGATTTAAGATGAAAATTTTTTAAAATTTCATAAACTTACATA